ACATTTGAATTAATTTTGTTCCAAGGAAATCGCTTAGTTAAACAAAGCAAATACAAGTGAGCTCATGATATAACAACATCAATTGGTATCAATTCAAATTTGCCAATCTTTGAAGCCGAAATCAGCGTTAAAGTTACAAATTTTTTTGTTTAAATATATAAAGCCAAATCAGACTAAGACATAAGATATGCATGAGGAAGAGAGGCGAAAGATACTAAAGGAACATTCAAGATGATGATTTTTCAATTTTCAATTTTGACATTTAACATTTCCTTCCATATAAATCAACGCTGCATTTAATCTGTGCGTTAATTAGTTTCACTTCATTTGGCAAACTTACAACCAACTTTTTGGAAAGCCTCTGATCTGAATAGTGGGAGCTATAAATTAAAAGGAAATTTAATAGTAACCGAATATCCTACAAGTCATGCTAAAGTCAAAATTTCCTAAATACACTTTTTGATTGTCAAAATAAAAATTAAATACTGAACATAGCATTGGCAACAATGATAATCTTTGTGAATTGCCAGTCCATCAACTGAAGAAAAAAAATCAGAATGTTGATCGACATCGTTGAAGATTTCGTCAGAAAATGAACACAAACAAGAATCAGCTGAACCAGATACTGTATCTGATAGGACCAATCAGTTCGACCATTCCGTAACACATCAAAGTTTGATGGTTATCAAAGTTTCAATCATATAATTCAATCAATTGCAGTCACTACAATTTTGCGACAACATCAAATAGTAGATTTTTCTTAGCAAAATTTTTATTCTGAATTTTTACATACTTTCGTTAACAATTGTTTGTCCTTTATGGGTGACAAACAAGATAAATTGGGAAAAAAGTGGTACAGCAATCGCAGAAAAAAAAATGCTTAGATTATATTATAAATTCATAGTTTTAGAACATGATTCGAATCTCTAAAATGTTACCCGCCATGACATTTCCAGGCTTGGAGGTAAAACGTCATTGTGAGAAAAACGCCGTTAACTATATGTGACTAGCCACGATAGTTCCAGGCTTATGCGGTACCTTGTCTAAAATTGGCTTTCTGTATATCTATATAGAACACTCTGAAACAAAACACTCTGTCATGTTATTATGATCTATTTGTTGTTATAACAATTTTTAAAATTTATTTCTTAAAGATATTTTCGAACGTAAATTGAATTATATGACTAAGCTACTTAATGAACACGGATCTTTTAATCACATATCTTTTGGTGATGCTCTCTGGAACTCGGTCATCAGACCATCTCTAACACACGGATGTGCCGTATGGCTACCGTCATCAGCTTCAAGTCACCAAAAAGATGAATATCCCAAAAGCTGCTCTTTTCCTAGACTTGGGATGGGAACCGACAAACGATTTTCTTAATAGACAAAGGTGTCTTTTTTTGCTATGATTCAAGGAATACACAAGTAAATTATGTCGAAATGTATTTGAAGAGCTAAAGTCCCTAACGCTTCAAAGGGGGTGGAATTATCCACAATATATGTTCAATTTGTTTAATATGATTGGTCTGGATCACCTTTACAACTCGAATGTTAACTCTCATATATTTAAACAGTTTCTTGGAAGGTTCAACCCATCATTTTTGTCTTAAAATGTTCTGTACCAAGTCAGGAATATGGCAGTTGTTATCTTAAGTCCGTTTCTATGTATGCTGGCGTTTGCTTTTGTTGCAGTTCAGTGTTTCTGTTGTTCCGTTGTTTTCTTCTTATAGTTGATGTGTTTCCCTCGGTTTTAGTTTGTTACCCGCATTTGTTTTTGCTTAATCGAATTATGACTATTGAACAGCGGTATACTACTGTTGCCTTTATTTGATATAAGCAGAAGTTCGTTGTTGCGTTCTGTTCCGTATTTTACAGACGGTATAGCTTAACTAGACCTATTATAATGAATTACTATGTTTGACCTACGAATCGAATTTATTTATGAGTGTAATTGTTCAGTTTTGTATTTGCTTACGTTTACTTTTAATGTAACGCGCCAAATTTAATGTTACGTGTTAATGTGCTTGTTCATGAATACCTTGTGTATTACGTCTCCAGTAAACGACGATTTTGGTATAAAATGCGGAACGCTGCCTATTCCAATTAGGAGATTCTCTCCAAGATCCTCCATGCTGTAAGCAGTATATCTCAAACTATATTTTGCTGCACAAAGTAAGCGTGCTTGGTGATAATATTTAATAGACTTGATAATAGTACCGAAGTCCTCGTGTAGAAATGCTGACGTACGGGTAAATCGCTAATTATGCACCGAGTTTGCACAGTATTTGAATGCAGTGCACCAGGCAGATTTTCCTGCACCAAGGATGCAGAGTATTAGAATGCAGTGTCTCAAGTAGATTGTCTTGCACCGAGCGCTAGAGGAATTGTTTTGTTAAACTTAGTGCAAGTAACGCACCTTGCTGTATTACTTATTATATATTATTAATCTATTTTATTTCATGTCATATAATTTATGAACCACTGTATTTGTTTGATTGCATATTACTGAAGCAGAAAATAATACAATTTATGAACTTCCATTATGATTTTTATAATTACTTCCTTCACCGGAGGCCCACTTAAGTAACGCCGTGAATCCTGACTCGAAAACCCCGGAACGTTACAATAATACTGGCTGCACAAAAAATAAACTCATACGCTGAACCTTTAACAATCAAATAATCAAATGTAATAAAAATAGCTTTGTGTCTATCTTAAGTGTTGAATTAATATTTTCCTGTTAGTATGCAAAACAATTCATTCTTGTGATCAAATTCAAGCTTTTTGAATTATCACAAATTTACAATCATGACTGACCATCTGTATGCTTTATCAGGTGTATCTTAAATGGTAATTAAAACTGTACGAATACGAAGTATGGGTAAATCGAACAATGCCAGATAAAGACAGGAGCTAACATTTTCCATTAGTCGGTAACGAAATTGTTTTATGACTATTTCTGGTATAAGTTGTTTGCAGAAATCACCATTTCTGTTTTAAACAGCACTATAAACAATAGATTAATGGCATTGTGTATAACCGTTTTATTATATTTTTCAGAACAGTACGTCTGTCAATGTTACCGTGACCGATAAAACATGTTAATTATAAATGTAATTAGATATAAGAAGATGTGGTATGAGTGCTAATGAGACAACTCTCCATCCAAGTCACAATTTGTAAAAGTAAACCATTATAGGTCAAAGTACGGCCTTCAACACGGAGACGTGGCTCACACCGAACAGCAAGCTATAAAGGGCCACAAAAATGAATAGTGTAAAACCAAAACCATTCAAACAGGAAAACCAATGATCTAATCTATATAAAAAACGAGGAACGAGAAACACTTATGAACCACATCAACAAACGACAACCACAGAACATCAGGTTCCTGACTGATGTCTCAAAGAGTTCGACCAGTCATTCAGTTCGAGAATGCTGCATATGTACCCTCTTTGAATTGAAAAAATTCCAGGGAAATGATTTAAGTTAAACAAACCCAATACATGTGTGAAATGCTCCACTGTTTCAAAACTACCCCGAAACAAATCTTTGAACTCAATAGTATCTAACTTTCGGTACCAATTTTACAGCAACAGGTGTACATTGCACTGCATGCCTTTTATGCATCTGTGTGCTTCCTACAAGTTACTGGAGATGCGATAGGTTATGACAAAAGGACAGTTTTCCTTATGTTATAATGAGTGACAAATGCATTACTTGAATTTAAGGACAATGTCATGCAGTTGCCTACAGACGCTCAGTCCATACACAAGTTCAAATGTGGTTGTACTGACTATGTAATGTAATTATTACGTTTCAAGTTTTGCCGTCACCACCACATGTTTGCTGATTAGAGTGTCCCGGTACATTTCTTTTCACCTTATAGCTCTATAATAGATCCCACATGCCCACCTGGCATTACTGCTGCTTTTATCATGTTCCTAGCTTGAAATAGCTTTGGAATTATATGACGTGTGATGCTTTCATAGCATGAGTAACTTACATGATCGCTGCACCTGGTATTGCGTCCTTTGTAGTCTATGTGTGATTCGGATTGTTAAATACTTTCATGATTGTTTGTATTTCTGTTTGTACTTGAAGTTTCTATTGATGTCAGTGTACTATCTTCATATTTGGGTAGGCCTTGCCTCAGGCAGTTTACTTAATTACCGGAATATAATTAATGGTTACAAAAACAAGTAGATGTGGTATGATTTCCGATGAGACAACTATCCACCAGAGTTCAAATGACGTGGATATTATAAAGAAATTATACCGTACGATCTGGGTATCAATTTCCGATCATCGTTCCAGATGCGCATTTCGACAATTAATGTCTCCTCAGTGTACTCGACTGCAAAATATTTGTAAAAGTGAAAACCTAATACAAACGTTGTTGAGCTGATAACACAACAAAATGAACAAAAAATTAAAGCCAAACCCAGACAAGAAACGAGAGCACATGAGGGTGATGGATGCCAAAATCAAAAATTGTTATTAGAATAGAATTTCATAATGATTCGGGTATTGCCGAAGCATTTGACTACAGATGTATGATACAATCGGAGACATAGTTCACTAACCATGACATGAAGCAAGTGGTATGAAATGAAAAGTCCATTTGTTGCGTTTGACGCCGAGTATGGGGCCTCCTCTAAGGCTGTAAATATACCCGCTAAAACTAACGTCCACCAGCCTAGGTACGAGGTCACCTTATTTAGAGCCATGAAAACCTAAACACTATTTGACGAGATGATACAATCATAAATTCGAAAGAAATCAGGCGAAAAAAAAAATTCTATGCATCTGAGAGATCCCTTCATTTATAAATGAAGTTCTCAATGTTGTCGCTGCAGATTTATTATCATGGTACTTCTTTGTGTAGGTTTATGTAAGTGATACTCACTGCCTTTGGTGCAAACTATTTAAATGCACAGAACAATAACATGGACAAACATCAACGTATATAATTGCAAAAGTAATAAAAGTTGAAGTAAAATATCTAAGACATTTATAAGATTTAATGATATGTTATACATGAAAGCAAACTATTCAAAGCATTTAGAATTAGAACTACAAAAGTACAAAAGCAGGTAAAAAAAAATACCAACACGTTCGAGGCCTTGAGCCTTCATGCATCTCTACGTTTATTCACACACAAAGCAATCGTTATAGGTCCACCAATTCCCGCAGCACTACATTTGAGAACAATAATCCGCACGAACGCAATCAAGACAATTTACGAACAAAGACTCCAAACATTCTATTACTGTGCAAAAGTGCCCAGGAGTGAACAATCAAACTGCGTTCATCAAGTGTCGTTCTGGGCTTCAGACACTCTCTTCATGTATTCCTCGTATGACGGTGGCTCAGAACCATTACTAGGGGATGCTACAGACCCTTCGCTTGTTGTTACCAATTCATCCTGCCATCTATGTGTTATTCGAACAATGTCGAACGTGTCAGGAGAGTCGGGTAAACTTTGATCTGCTATGACAACCTCGTAGGGAGGTGGGTCTTCATTTGTCGGCAGTCGTCTAAAAAATATTGAACATCATTAAAAGTGATTCATTTCAATGAGTGTTTGCTGTTTTCTTTTAAACCGAAGTAGTTTTTTTTTAACAAAATGTCCCAACTGCATGAATGTTTCATTGATGATACAATCAAATCTTAAAAATGTTACATCTTCTGTCATTCCGTGTACCTACAAGTTTTAAATCATGTCAAGGATTCGTGTTTCCTTTTTGTTTAGTGCAATTTTAATTTGACTATGTTGAAATTCAAGCGCGATAATATACGATCGTTATGATATGATTCGGTTTTTCAATACGTCTTTTTATAATTGGTGCTTTTCGTCTTGTTTTCGATCATCCATTTTTTTTCTGATAAAGTGTCTTGTTATATTGCCTTTTATAAATGTAAAATACTTGCCCACTTTGATTGTTATCTTCATTTACTGAAACACTACACATAGTTGCTGTCGTACTACTACACTGAAACAGAATTGTCAAACCATCAACGGAAATTAAAGAGTATTGTTGGAAGAAAGTGAATGTCACAATTCAGGACATTTGAATGCTTTACTTACACTGGAAATCCTGAATACAATAAGATGATGTGTAAGTATTAAAAGTACCCACTACCATGTTTCCATGTAGTGATAAAGATTGGGGAAAGAGGTTAAACCTTTCTTGCTGATTTTTACTGACTGAAATGAAACAAGATACGACATTCTATAAACGAGTGTGTGGATGGGCAAAACGTGCAAAATAAAGGGCAAAAAATATAAAGAATATAAAAAATAGGCCAAAAAAATAAAGAATGTGAATAATGGGGTGCTTAAATATAAAGAATAGAAAATAACAGGCAATATTTATAAAGAATAGAGAAATATAGTCTACAATATTAAAAAATACAGAAATGAAAGACCCCCCCCCCTCCAGACCCTCATATAACTCGTTTTAATTGTAAAGTTTATTAATCTAACCTCCGTTATTTGTCTAGAAGAATACAGGGTAGGTTGACAGTCCCGTATAAGTATTCTCTCCCTCGTCCTTGTTTCTACAAAATGGAATTGATTGAATGTCCCTCTAGCCAAAAGTAAGGCTCCTACAACGATCAAAACAGGACCAACGTATCTTTCGGTATTACCCTCTGTGTGCCTCTCTAAATTCTGGAAAGTAACCGAGGTTACAATGACGCCAAACACCAGTAAGGCAAGTCCAGAAATTATGTAACATAATGCGTTACCAATTAAGAGAAGACAAGGGTTCTCGTACTGAATGTATCTAGCCGTGGCTGGTAAATTTCTCCAAGTAATCACAGTCTGGGTACTTGTATGCATGCCTAGCAAAGAAAAGAAAACGTAAATTCACCTTGAAAGAGTCATATCTAAAATCGACCATATCATTTTTTTCAATCGCCTTTCTTTTATTGAGCTTATGGATGAGTGTGGCGAACCAAAAGTTTGGACTATAATAACCAAAAAAGTTCAAGGTCAATTTTGTCTTCCGGAATTTGTTGAGTTCCAATTATATAAAACATTCTAGTAAATATAGTTAATTCAAACACATTTTAGTTCTAAAGTATGAACAAAACTGTAAAAAGGCATCTCAGTTCTTTTTACCATTTTTACGATTCCATTTTTTGGCATTTAAAGAGCTAATATGATAAAAGAACTGTAATTGACCCGAATATTTGCTTCCGTATTTTCTTTGACATAATACATGTTAGAGGTTGGCTATGGAAAGCCTCAGCTGTCATATATTAGAGATTTACAAAACGTTATGCTGAAGCTTAAAATGTAAAGTTAAGACAGCGTGATGTTGAATTGAGTCACCAAAATGCTAACTCTAAATTACAATATGCTAAGTTGAATTTGCGCAATGTTGACTTGCAATGACAAGTGCTTTAGTCGTGATAGTATAATGATAAGTCACGATGTTGTGATGATATGCCAAACACGCGTAACGTTGGGTTTAAAGTACATGATGTAAAGTTGACGTTGCATGATGTTAGCTTGCAGATTCATACTGCTCAGTCATCCACATCGACAGCTATGATAACAAATAAAATGAATAGCTAAAATGTATGGTGCTGACTTGTAATTAATAAATGTTGAGCTGAGATAGTAAGATGTTATATCATTGTGATATTACGATTGGTCTATCATGCAATCTGTTGATTTAAAACACCATGATGCACAGTTGAAAGTACATGATGTTAAGTTAAGATAACACGATGCTACACCACTATATTGAAACGAAAGGTTTACCATACAATTTGTTGACTTAAAACAACACGATGCAACGTGTTAAGCTAAGATGCTCACTGGAAACTACAGGACGTACAGTTGAAATTTTGTAATGCTAAGCTACGATAGCACGATGTTATATCATTAAAATGTCACAATAGGCTTATTATACAATTTGCTCATTTAAAACTACACAACGTACAGTTAAAAGTACGTGATGTTAAGCTAAGATAGCACGTTGTTATATCATTAGAATGTCACGATAGGCTTACCACACGAAATGCTCGTTTAAAACTACACGACGTACAGTTGAATGTACGTGATGTTGAGCTATGATAGCAATATCTTCTATCATAATAATATCACGATAGGCTTGCCATACAATATGCTCATTCAAAACTACACGACGTACAGTTGAAAGTACGTGTTGTTCAGCTACGATAGCACGATGTTATATCATTATAATGTCACGATAGGCTTATTATACAATTTGCTCATCTAAAATTACACCATGTACAGCTGAAAGTACGTGGTGTTAAGCTAAGATAGCACTTTGTTATATCATTAGAATGTCACGATAGGCTTACCACACGATATGCTCATTTAAAACTACATGATTTTCAGTTGAAACTAGGTGATGTTATGCTAAGATAGCATGTTGTTATATCATTTGAATGTCACGATAGGCATACCATACAATATGCTCATTTAAAACTACACAACGTACAGTTGAAAGTATGTGATGTTGAGCTATGATAGCACGATGTTATATCATAATAATATCACGATAGGCTTGCCATACAATATGCTCATTCAAAACTACACGACGTACAGTTGAAAGTACGTGTTGTTGAGCTAAGATAGCACGATGTTATATCATTATGACGTCACGAGAGGCTTATCATACAATGTGTTGACTTGAAACTACACGATTTAAATTTGAAGTAGTTTGGTCTTGACTTGAAACAGTAAAATGTTAAGTTATAAAGACAGAACGTAAAGTCAAAATAAAACAATGATATGATGACATATACTTCTGCAGAATTGAAGATTTTTGGTGTTGACTTCGAATAAAGTACAAATATTAGATCGTTTTATGTTAAATTGAAAGACAATAATGATGCGTAAAACCAGAGACATATAATACATATAATAATTGTATTATATGTCTCTGGTAAAACATTACAGAATTATGTGAATTGAAACTGCAATTCTATGGAAAAGAATGAGGGACAAATCCCCAGGATTTTTTCTTCTTCATTTGCAAGTTTGGAGGCAAAATGATATACAAAGAAAGTTTTCCATAAATTCATAAAGCAAAAGAATTACCCATCGCTATATATTACACTTGAATATAGTTTTGCCGTATATTTTACATGTTTTGTTTGGATTTTTTTTTATGATTAAAAACCAGACTTTTTTTATGAACAATATTTAAGAAAATATTTATCTATGTTGTGTGTTAATATATACAACATCATATTGTGCTTATAAGACTCATGACTGTGAGGGTCAAATTTTACTCATATAAAATCACATCTATGTAAGAGTTAGCGGAGATTTTGTATTTACCACTCCCGTTTTCCACGAAATAAAACATAAGAATCTGGAGTCTTAATCTTAAAAAACAAAGATCAACTGATATGACAAATAATACGGTAAAGCGTAGGACTGAGAGGGTCAGAGCTATATGAGAACGTGACCCCCCCCCCCCCCTTCCGGCCTTGTTTAGAGGTATCTGAAAATTTGAATTTTCTTTTCCACGAAATAAAAAAAAAAAGAATTGATAGTTGATAGAATCCTACTGCATGGGGCCAACCCAAACATAAAGTATGGTAGATTCTGTGGTATACTTTTCGCTCTTACATGAAGTCTATATGAAATTTGACCTAGAGCCTCCAGTCTAAATCGTCAACTTTCAAAAAAAAATACATCATTTACAGCAGTGCCAACCATTTTTCCAGCACCAAGTAAGATAGTACCCAGGTTTATGTATATATCCACTCGGAGAATATTTTATTTTTTTAAATTGGTAAAGTCATTAATGGACAATGACCCCTATAACTTATAATAAGAAGCCAATTAATGATTTCCGTCACTTATTTTCTTGTCCATAGTGATTTTCTTGATTCTTTGCAGCTTCTCTCTATCTATATGTGTTTTCAAAGAAAAAGGAAAAAATCAAAAACTGTAAAAATTGTTAAAGTCCATGTATTATTTTGGTATCAACAGTTTGGGCCACAGAGCATTTTGCACGCTACAGGTTATGCAGTATTGTCAGATTTTGTATAAACTATACATGGAAAACTCAATGTTAGAAAATAAAAATAAAAATTGGGATCACGAGTCTCGTTTTCTGTCTACAAAACAAAACAGATAAAGTCCCTACACATTCCATCATTAGAGACGAAATATGCCAAAGGGATTTCAAACTCATAAGTCGAAAACAGACTCACAATGCCATGGTAAAAAAAATAAAAGACGACAAAAAATAATGTTATCCGAGTTATCTCCCCTATATCGAAAAGTTGAAAAACATATGCAAAAAACGTTCTTTTATTCAAAAAAAACATATGCAAAAAACGTTCTTTTATTCAAAAACAAATAGTCGTTTTAATCAGATAAATCTCATAATTTTCTTCATCAAGATGAAAAGTACTACATATGAATAACATTCCTCTCTCAAAATGTGTATATTTTTTTAGATCTAGACCGATTGTGTGGAGCTATATGAGAATCTAAGGGAGCTACCACGTGATTTTTATGGAGGGGGATGGGAGTGGGTGTGGGGGGGGGGGGGGGGGGGGGGGGGGGGGTGCTAGGACGAAAAATTTTGTCCTGCCTTTTTTTTTAGTTGTAATCACTGTCCTGCCTTTTTATTTTTCACTCTATTCGGTCCTGCTTTTTTTTTATTAGTTTATTCTGAGTTTTTAGCTCACTGGGGCCCGAAGGGCCCCATGTGAGCTTATGCCATCACTTGGCGTCCGTCGTCGTCCGTCGTCTGTCGTCGTCTAGCTGTCGTCGTCGGTCGTCGGTACTCGTAAACTATTTCAAAAATCTTCTCCTCTGAAACTACTGGGCCAAATACCTTTAAACTTTAACTAAATGTTCCTTAGGGTATCTAGTTTATATATTGTATCCGAAGTTTTGATCCATCGACAAACATGGCCGCCATGGCTAAAAATAGAACATAGGGGTCAAATGCAGTTTTTGGCTTATATCTCTAAAACTAAAGCTTTTAGAGCAAATGTGACAGGGGATAAAATTGGTGTAATTGGTCAAGATCTATCGGCCCTGAAATTATCAGACGAATCGAACAACCCATTGTTGGGTTGCTGCCACCGAATTGGTAGTTTTAACAAAATTTTGCAGTTTTTTGTTATTATTTTGAATATTATTATAGATATATATAAACTGTAAGCAGCAATAATGTTCAGCAAAGTAAGATCTACAAAAACGTTAAATATGACCAAAATTGTCAATTGACCCCTTAAGGAGTTATTGCCCTTTAAAGACAATTTTACACAATTTGTTCATCAAGTTTGCTAACATTTAAAAATCTTCTCCTCTAAAATACAGGTGAGGGATTCAGGCTCTTGAGAGCCTCTTGTTTTTACATAAATTGTCATCCTGCCTTTTTTTTTGCCAAGTTGCTCATCCTGCCTTTTTTTTTTACACAAAACTCCTGTCCTGCCTTTTTTCAAATTTCATTCTAGCCCCCAATAAAAATTACATGGTAGCTCCCTAAGATGGCGGAAGACACTCGATCTACCCTAAGGGCAATATGTCTAATGAGGAAGAAATTTACAATTTCGGTCACGTCGAGTTACTTGTAGATCTCCTTTTGTTGAAAAGGGTTTCTGTTTTCATTTATCTATCTATTATACTGTTCAGGGGAGGGGAGAATCGAAAAAAAAAAATACACAAAAATGGATAAAAGAAGGCGAAAGATACAAAAGGGATAGTAAAAATCTTAACCAAACTGACAATGTCATGACAAAAACTCATGAGCCGAAATAAACGAGAGAAAAAAGATCAAAAGCCAAACAGCAGTATATTAAGAGCAGCATATAGAAAACCAAAAACTGAGCAACACGAAACCCTCAAAAAAGGGGTGATCTCAGGTGCTCCAGAAGGGTAAGCAGATCCTGTTTCATATGTGCCACCCGTCACTTGGCGATTTTGCAAATAAAGAAGGAATGTGTTATAATTTTCGAGGAAATCCCAAAATAAACATGAACTACAGGATGTCAAATCGATGAACGTGCTTAAGTTAGGCTCCTTTTCATAAAAAAGAATTGATGAAAATGTATTTGTATTTAGTGAACAGTGGCAAATATTACATGCATATAAGGACTAGAATATGTAAGTGTAATATGAATATGAATAAATCTTGGCTCTGTACAAGACATATTTTGCTTGCTTAGCCGAATTTTTAACAAACTAGTTGACAAACCGACTCTGACAATCTATGGAAATCTAAATAGCATCGGTTTTGATTAAGTCCAGATTTTTTGGTTTTATTTCGGAGAAAGGGGTGCGTTTTACGTACAGTGGCAAATATTACATGCATATCAGGACGAGAACATGTAAGTGTGATATGAATATGAATAAACCCTGCTTTGTTACAAGACATACTTTACTTGCCTAGCCGAATTTTCAACGAACTAGTCGACAAACTGTCTCTGACATTCTATTGATTAAGTCCAGATTCTTTTGTTTTATTTCATGGAAAAGAAAATTCAAATTTTCAGATATCTCTAACAAGACCGGGGGGTCACATTCTGATATAGCTCTGACCCTCTCAGTCCTGCGCTATAATCGTATTATTTGTCATATCAGTTGATCTTTGTTTTTTTAAGATTAAGACTCCAGATTCTTATGTTTTATTTCGTGGAAAACGGGAGTGGTAAATACAAAATCTCCGCTAACTCTTACATAGATGTGATTTTATATGAGTAAAATTTGACCCTCACAGTCATGAGTCTTATAAGCACAATATTGTGTTGTATATATTAACACACAACATTGATAAATATTTTCTTAAATATTGTTCATAAAAAAAGTCTGGTTTTTAATCATAAAAAAAAATCCAAACAAAACATGTAAAATATACGGCAAAACTATATTCAAGTGTAATATATAGCGATGGATAATTCTTTTGCTTTAAGAATTTATGGAAAACTTTCTTTGTATATCATTTTGCCTCCAAACTTGCAAATGAAGAAGAAAAAATCCTGGGGATTTGTCCCTCATTCTTTTCCATAGAATTGCAGTTTCAATTCACATAATTCTGTAATGTTTTACCAGAGACATATAATACAATTATTATATGTATTATATGTCTCTGGTTTTACGCATCATTATTGTCTTTCAATTTAACATAAAACGATCTAATATTTGTACTATATTCGAAGTCAACACCAAAAATCTTCAATTCTGCACAAGTATATGTCATCATATCATTGTTTTATTTTGACTTTTCGTTCTGTCTTTATAACTTAACATTTTACTGTTTCAAGTCAAGACCAAACTACTTCAAATTTACATCGTGTAGTTTCAAGTCAACACATTGTATGATAAGCCTCTCGTGACGTCATAATGATATAACATCGTGCTATCTTAGCTCAACAACACGTACTTTCAACTGTACGTCGTGTAGTTTTGAATGAGCATATTGTATGGCAAGCCTATCGTGATATTATTATGATATAACATCGTGCTATCATAGCTCAACATCACATACTTTCAACTGTACGTTGTGTAGTTTTAAATGAGCATATTGTATGGTAAGCCTATCGTGACATTCAAATGATATAACAACATGCTATCTTAGCATAACATCACCTAGTTTCAACTGAAAATCATGTAGTTTTAAATGAGCATATCGTGTGGTAAGCCTATCGTGACATTCTAATGATATAACAAAGTGCTATCTTAGCTTAACACCACGTACTTTCAGCTGTACGTGGTGTAATTTTAGATGAGCAAATTGTATAATAAGCCTATCGTGACATTATAATGATATAACATCGTGCTATCGTAGCTGAACAACACGTACTTTCAACTGTACGTCGTGTAGTTTTGAATGAGCATATTGTATGGCAAGCCTATCGTGATATTATTATGATAGAAGATATTGCTATCATAGCTCAACATCACGTACATTCAACTGTACGTCGTGTAGTTTTAAACGAGCATTTCGTGTGGTAAGCCTATCGTGACATTCTAATGATATAACAACGTGCTATCTTAGCTTAACATCACGTACTTTTAACTGTACGTTGTGTAGTTTTAAATGAGCAAATTGTATAATAAGCCTATTGTGACATTTTAATGATATAACATCGTGCTATCGTAGCTTAGCATTACAAAATTTCAACTGTACGTCCTGTAGTTTCCAGTGAGCATCTTAGCTTAACACGTTGCATCGTGTTGTTTTAAGTCAACAAATTGTATGGTAAACCTTTCGTTTCAATATAGTGGTGTAGCATCGTGTTATCTTAACTTAACATCATGTACTTTCAACTGTGCATCATGGTGTTTTAAATCAACAGATTGCATGATAGACCAATCGTAATATCACAATGATATAACATCTTACTATCTCAGCTCAACATTTATTAATTACAAGTCAGCACCATACATTTTAGCTATTCATTTTATTTGTTATCATAGCTGTCGATGTGGATGACTGAGCAGTATGAATCTGCAAGCTAACATCATGCAACGTCAACTTTACATCATGTACTTTAAACCCAACGTTACGCGTGTTTGGCATATCATCACAACATCGTGACTTATCATTATACTATCACGACTAAAGCACTTGTCATTGCAAGTCAACATTGCGCAAATTCAACTTAGCATATTGTAATTTAGAGTTAGCATTTTGGTGACTCAATTCAACATCACGCTGTCTTAACTTTACATTTTAAGCTTCAGCATAACGTTTTGTAAATCTCTAATATATGACAGCTGAGGCTTTCCATAGTTGGCCAATAGTTTGGAGAGCCCTTGTCCAATTTTTATATCCAAAAGGAATCTTTCTTGAGTCTCCAATAGTTGCAATAAATCTGGCTTCAAGTTCATGTGTGAGCTGCTGGCAACTTCATAAGAATGAAGATTAAAGGAACCTTTACAAACATTCCTCATTTCGTGTGGATGGTGGTAATGAGGTCAACCTAGGTTACTATTGAACTTAAATGAAATTATATTTTCAACTTCTATTACGCCCTTGATTAAGCAAGTACCATAGATCATATTAAAACAAATTACCAAAATGATACCTCTATCTGTTCAAACAAAGTATAATCTGAATGCACAGATAGATAACCAGTTTAGAAATTGTAAGATTTTTCAGAGCAATCGATAAAGACAAAAGTCATTCACGTATCCATTGAGGGTTGCTGCTAGTTAGGATGCTATTGAACTAACTTAGGTAAAGTTGAAGCCATCTAATCAACAGCTGTAGGGACGCCAACATGATTTGGTTAGCTTTTATGGAATATATGTGCCACAGATGACCACGACCACAAAGGTCCACATCTATGTTCCACTTGTCATACCTACATGCCCGTTTCACTTCCTCATAGTGTAGTCTCCATTATTTGACCTTATTTTTGTATTGTTCCTTTGTTATCGTCTTCCATTTTTGGAGCCAGTATTTTAAGTGAAAACATATTTAATCTTATTTTATTTGGAAAGAATTTGAAAAGGCATTCAATTCAAACTAAGCGTATTAAAATATTGTTTATGTGCACCGGTAGATCAGAAAAAAATATCGTATGTTTAATGATTGGTCCATCGCGGTATTGTGTCGATTTGAAATCCATAAAAATTCAGATTAATTCAGTATTGTCAGCACACAACACTTTTTATAAAGGAAGTGTGTTACTCAGAACAAACATCAATATTAACAATTCTTATTATAGATTTTATAAAACTGTATTGTGATGATTAATTCTGCAAAAGACAGAGTCGCCATGGTTAATCTAATTTGTAGTTTAAACATAATATGTGCATAATTACTTACCTATAGCAAACAGATTCTCCAAATTGGGTCAGCATTTGACAATTTACGAGGTTCCATTTCCATTAAAATTTTAAACCGCCTGGATCCATTTAATGATTAGGAGCAAGCTATACCAGCAGCAATGTTGTATTGATCGTGTGTGATATAGGTCGGTCAATAATCAACCAAATGTCTCTAAAAGACTGAAAACCGCTAAGTTTAAAACGAGGAAGACATAGAAATAGAGGAAACATTACATGTGGTTACTTTTCTGAAATGTCGTTTTTTGAATATTAGTTTTACAGCAATAGCTAATACATCCGTTCTGTATATTGTTTGTAGTAACTAATAAGTAAGCGATAAGCTATGGTATAGTTAGGGAATAGTGGTAGTAATTGTAATTTTGCGAATAGAAGTAACTGTACGCGAATGGGTGTAGAAGTAAATGAAAAGGACAAAATAAGCCATTTGGTGAAATAATAAAAAAAATGAAGAGAACTAAAATGTAGTAGTATGCGAATCGGTGCATGCATAGTATTAAGCTTACACATGTATAGTAATATATAGCAGGTGATGCTACTGTAAGAGTGTGATGGTATGAGCAATATCATGTTAAATAGTAGAAAATAAGCTGGAATAGTTCCATAAATTGTATGGAAAATATTTGTAACATTAAAAAATCAATGACAAAAGCATATCACCTTGAAAGAAATAAAAATTAAAAAAGTCGTGTTTAAATAACATATTTCATAAATGTATGAAGAATGATTTTGAAAAGAAAACGTTCCTATCCCAACAAAAGAGTGGAGAAATTGTTCTAACTGATAATGAAACTGACCATTAAGGCAACCGAGGCACATCGTTACACATTTTAAGTTATTGTTTTTATGCTGTTACAAAAATTGTCTCGCTCATATCATATTGTGATGTTCGTTTTTTGTTTTTATCAAATTATACATGATCTCAGTATCTTACTTGTACTTGCTGTTTGGTCGAGTTGCTGGTTGCTTATATGTAACGATTTGTATACATTTATTAATTGACTTTAGACGTAGTGGGTAGATACTTTCTAGTAGGTATAGTGAACTACCTTCAAGTCTTATGACATACCGTTCGCACAAAGCTAGAACACGTATGCCAATAGAGTCACATTCATAACTTATTTATAGCAATTTCTCGATGCTACAGTCGAGTCGAATTGTTTAATTCATTACCAAAATGGTTCAAATTTTCAGAAAGAGCCGATTCAGTTGTGAAATCCACAAAACGGATCTTTTGCATCATTTTTAGTTCTCACAGACCCTGTATATATTTCCAAATAAAGAAACAAAATATCATCGTATCCGTAGTTCTGAATTACTGGTATATACGACCCGTTGGTAAAATATATAACTTTAATGAATATAGAGCTGCGCCAAGAGCGCCAACGAATAAAGTTCCATAACTTCCCAATGTCGTATATCAGAAACTTATAAAAAAAAACCTAAAGGGAGCTTATTTTAATAGATATAAACCAGTCACCAAAGTTTCATGAAAACTGCTCAGAGCATTTGTTTATCAATAAACTCGGAAACATGGAATCTAAAATTAGATATTGATAATACCTATTAAAACTGATTAAAGATAAATGCATATATTTTGTTGACTTGTAGAACAAAAAAGATTGTGGAGATATGCATACTATTGCGTGTCTTGCACAATTCATCTAAAATAATTGAAAATCTCCCAATAATGTGCTATATACTTCGGTATGTTGTTATTGTTGGTGTTACCGTCCTGTTAAAAGATTGCCAATGCCATTTTATTACTTATATATATACAAATAAGAAGATGTGGTGTGAGTGCCAATGAGACAACTCTCCATCCAAGTCACAATGTATAAAAAGTTAACAATTATAGGTCAAAGTACGGCCTTCAACACGGAGCCTTGGCTCACACCGAACAGCAAGCTATAAAGGGCCCCAAAATGACTAGTGTAAAACAATTCAAACAGGAAAACCAACGGTCTAATCTACATAAAAAATGAGAAACGAGAAACACCTATGAACCACACCAACAAACGACAACCACTGAACAACAGGCTCCTGACTTAGGACAGGTGCATAAAAATGCAGCGGGTTTAAACGTTTTAACAGGCGCCAACCTTCACCCTAACCTGAGACAGTAGTGTAGCATTACAACATAAAAAGACACACTATAAAATATCAATTGAAATGGCTTAACTCGATCAAAAAGACATTTAAACAAAAACAAGTAAACATACACTGAACGAATAAGTTTGATATATGACACAATATAAATACAATATTAAAACGTAGGTGCCTATATAACAAAGACGTTACAGGTAGTAACAAAAAAGATGTAGGAAGAGTGTCAACAAGACAACTCTTACATGGGACGCAATGGCGTTAAATAAAACAATGCATTTATTTATCATGATGTCTTATGCCAATGTACTATTCTCATTTCAGGGCTCTTGTTTTAACAATTATTGTAAATTAAACGTATAATTGTATCAATGCCCCTCGAGGGTTCTTGACTGGTGGATAAAACTATTAATCGTCTTATCTCTCTAGCTTGGATATTTATAAATAGTCTTTCAATAAGTTAAATTATTACGAAATACTTATAGATAAGCGGTCCATGGTACCTCAATTCAGGTTTTTTAAAAAAAAAAATTTTCAGGAAGCCCTAATGACCCATCAGATAATAGGGATGTATCAGTAAAGAGTTGTCTACATGGTCAAGCTACAATATAATATGTCTATTAAGTTACCAACATTGTCCCAAAAAAATGTTAAGACACATATCTTAATGAGAAATCAAATTGCACACGAGCAGATTTTGTGATATCTCAAAGCGTTATTGCAAAAAATTGCAAAAAATGAGAATGATTGAAAATTAAAACATGTTCAAATGTTGGCGTTAGGCGAGAAAATACTTCATATTTGTTTTTCGTTCATTATTTTGTACTTAAATCAGGCCGTTAGTTTTCTCGTTTGGATATTTTTACATTTGTCATTTCGGGGCCTTTTGTAGCTGATTATGCGGTATGGGTTTTATTCATTGTTGAAGGCCGTACGGTGACCTATAGTTGTTAATTTCTGTGTCATTTGGTCTCTTGTGGAGAGTTGTCTCATTAGCAATCATACCACATATTCTTATTTTTATATTCAAGTGCCTTCAAGATTTACTTAAATAATTTAGTAGACTTTTTTTAATTGTGATATGAATAAGAGAGATGTAGTGTATACAACAATGAAATACCAACCAAACACCGTCAAAAAGACCTAAGACATCTACAGAGTAATGTACAGTTTATACAATAGACAAGTGTTTTTTTCTGTACAATATGTCAAGCTCAACAGCAATGGCCTGGAATGTGTCGGGATGGACTATCATGCAATTGAAATAAAACCAGTCAATCAAAATATTGCTCTCAGCTTCTAAAACTATACTAAGTTCCTCATAATTTGGAAAATGGAAAGACAATGTATTGTCGTCAGCATATGTATATAAGTTACCCTTTTTAATAAAGTAAAAAAATATCGTTAATGAAAACATTAAAAAGTAAAGGGTCCAATATTAATCCTTGGGGCACACCCTTGGGGGCACACACCTATTTTATCTGTTGTTTTCTATTAGACAGATATGATAATGATAACATAGTATCAATCTCAGATAGGCCATGGGAGTACAATTTACTTATTAGAATGTCACGGGTTATGCAGTTAAACGCTTTGGACTGATCAACGAGAATAACAGCCACATATTCATTAAGTTCTAACGAAATTTTCCAATGTTCAAGAAGTTTTAGTAGAGTTTTTAGACAACCATGTCTTTTCCTGAATGCACATACAAAAATTATCAAAGGTGTTTTCGTAGAATTCTGAATACTGCTTTGCACTTTCTGTTCTATATAGTTTTTTTTAGCTCGCGGATAATCTGAGTGGCACCTTCAACACTAAGCATCGGATCAAGCCCCTATTCTGACTAAACGCGAATGGGTATTATTACATCCCGCTGTGACAGAGTGTACGGTCATCTTAGGACAAACATCCTCCCCGGCTTTAGTTTTTCTTCAATGTCGTGCAAAATCGATTTGGCTTTCCAATTTTTTGAATCGATTGTCACTAATATTTGTTGTGTAAGCGAAACGCGCGATAGGCGTACAATAAATTACACTAATATGAATATGACCAGCCGTATATAAGTGATGACCTTTCACAATCAACTTACAAACACTTTTTTGTGCGTTTTTGTTAGATTTATTTGTATGTTTGTTTGAATTTACAAGTAAGTATGTTCTCTTGTATTGTCACATTAACCTATTATGTCTGTTTGGGTAAACTTATATTTGTCAATATAATGGAACTATAAACAACAGTCATACAAGTAGGTGATTTGTGGAGATTTAGCTAGCTATAAAACCAGGTTTAACCTGAGACATAATATATTGATGGGACTTGACACTCGACAATCGTATCGATTACTTAGTCGGGTCATTCAATTTATTACCGATATATGATAGGGAGATGTGTCAAATTACGTTTTTTGTATACTGTTGACGATCATATACGACTCTACATCTCAATGCAAAACAGTTTTAAAATAATGATTGGAAATTTTCTTGTTTTTTTTAACAACAATAATGTACAAATATTTAATCAGTTTCAAAATGATAAAATAAAACCATTATAGGCCTAACAAGGATTTGTATAGTAAGATATAACTATACAAATCCTTGGGCCTACAGAAACAATAGGTTGTTTTTTTTTAAAAGAGAAAACAACAATGGCGATTGTAATTGTCTTTCCTTTCTTGTTTCTATTTTCTTACCTTTAAACAATAAAAAATCGAACTTTCACTTAAAATGTGTTCAAATGTGTTTTTACGAACAGATTTCCAAAGAAAACAGTGTTTATGCTTTAAATCTTCAGTATACTATTACCAGGTTTAACCAACCATTTTCTTCGGCAATTGCCAGTACCAGTCAGGAATATGACAAGTTTTTTTTCATTCGTTCCTGTTGGTTGATAAAGTCAAACGTTTTATTTTTCAGTTTTTTATGAACTTCCACTGCGTGAACTCCTTCTTTTTTTAATGTATCTTTGGGTTCGTATTTTTCAACGGTTGTACTTTTTTAACTTGTCTGACGGGTGAAATTCAGGGGCTCGTTTGTGAAATAAATCCATACGCATAGAGATCCAGATTGAATATATGCCGTTTCTTTTTTTTATTATTTTCTTATGTTCTTATTTGATAAGCATATTCGAACGGAAAAGGCACTTGTAAAATATTCGAGTGCGCCGACTGTTAGCTGTTGGCCTCTTGTTTTTGCCACATTCACTGAAATCTCGCATTGAACGTGATCTGACGTGGATGTAAACTAATGGCGAAAACAACACATGAGGCCGATAAGGGGTCTCAAAGCAGTAAAGAGTTTCGGGCGTTGGATGGCTAGATATTCAAGAATATGTGTGTGTACAACGGGGCTTATTTTGTCCCTTCTTGCATTGCTCCCCAGGTAACGAAATGACTTCTTATTCTCACAAATACTGCTCACATTCAACATGATGATGTACAAGGTGCAAAGTGAAACTTGCTTATAGCTGGTGCAAATGTGTTTTAAATCTGCATCAACAGAAAATGCAATCTGCAATTGTAACATTTCATTCATATATAAACCATGTAGTGTCCAACAAACATTTTATTTCTCCTCTGAAAATACATGAGTACATGGAGTAACTAGTTATTTTCCAATTAATGATAATAAATTAAACCCTGGGGCATACAAGTACACTATTTATCTGTTTATGTTCATATGTGTTGAGGGTACTTACATTAGTACACATCTTCTTTTGCCACATTCAGTCAGTACAGTTAATTCACCGTCAGGAACCACCTTAGTGGTCGGATGGTAGAGTGTTCGCTTCAAGTAGGGGAGGTTGTGGGTTCAAACCCTGGCCAGGTCGAACTAAAGACTTAAAAATTTGTATTTGCTTCTTCTCTGCTAAGCATGCCATATCAAAGAGTAACAGCAAAGCCTGGTCGGCTGGGAGTCAGAATAATGTGTTAGTGTAAGGTGACATGTCTTCCTGCAGACTATTACCTTGAGATCAACATTAACACATTCTCGTCCTTAATACACTTATCTTGAGTTGTTTTTAAAGGCAGTGCTTTAATGCCTTTCAAGTTGCCGGGTTAATCCTTCCTTCCGCGATATCCAACTTATCTACGTGGGGGGTCATTAGACTCCAAGTAGATCGGGAAATGTTGAATTCTCTCCTCTTCTTATTGCGATATAAAATGTTTTTTGTTTCATTTCATTTACATTGGGAAATAGAGAAACGATCATTGTGTTTTGTTAGTTTTAAAAACTTTTGATATATTAGTATTTTGCATTATAAGCAGTCAACCGATTGACAAACTAGAATTATTTGAATTCCGTGTGGAAAGAGCTCGGGTTAATTTCGAGTGTTATCTGCAATCTAGATGTTTTTAAATCATTTCAGTCGTTGATATAATAATTAAAGGTCGACTGAACATGAATTATATTATACAATTTAAAGCGAATTTCTGTTTATGCACGTGAACCCGTATAACGTTATTGTAATTTCGCAGTTATATAAAGTAGCAAATTATCGTTCCTGAATAGGTGGCGCCGTGGTAGCGGATCCTGTTCCTCTACTTCCGGTTTCTGCACTGTGCAACTATTTCAGTTATATTTTTAATTAACGATGCCAAGTACTTGTTGTTGTGTACCTGGATGTCATTTAAGAGGAGGACATGCATTTCCAAATGACTTAAAAAGAAGGATAAGTTGGATCAACGCCATGGCCCATACGCAGATTGGACGAGAACACGATGATATCGTGGAGTCCATCTCAATCAGCTGTTGTTTGCAAGGCACGTTTTACTGAAAAAGACTACGTGCAGGAAACTATTCATGGTAAAACTCTATTTTCTTTGTGAAATATATAGTTATATATGTAATCGCCATGCGAATAAACCAAAGTCTGTTTACAATCGCAATTATCGTTTTAGAATAAAAGGGGGTGGGTAATTCAAGACGTCATAATTTTTTGGATTACGATTCAATGTGATCTGTTTGAGATTTTTTGGTGATTGCTACAATTATAATGATTTCTTACAAGAGGTATATCATACTGAGAATTATTTTAGCAGTAATTATGCTAATGTAGTAATGACAGGAATGCATAAGCTATGCCTCATAGACTTTCTTGAAAAATATCAATGACAATGTAAACAGGAACAAAACAATGACATGCTCTCATCTATATTATAGTTATTTAGGTACAAACAATGTACGTTTGTTGCATAAGTCTCTCATTGTTTGTCCTTTGGATTTACATAACATACATTGAATCAGGCAAACATAGTTTTATCCAGATTGTAATGAATAAATCTAGTTAATATTTCGCCAGGTAGTACAAAGTATACATTGCTAATGGAAGTTCATTTAATTATCAAAAAACTAATGTTTTATAACCTTTTTCAGGGCGCAAACCCACCATACAGAGACTTAAGTCTACTGCCATTCCCAGCCTACATTGTATTTTCCTGGACCAAGCAAGAGACTGAATCGTCCGCAAAAAGAAAAATCAGGGCAGTTTCCTGTGAAAACAAAAGAACTAAACTTGATGAATATTGTAGTAGAAATCTAGAGGAAAGTTTTGATTGTAAAGTTGGTTTTCCTGAAGAAGTCATTCATACTGCAGAAAGGATTTATGACTGTCCACCACCAACTGCCGAGCTAATGTTGAGCTTCACAGATGGAATTACGCAAACACCATCAATGCCTATGTTTTCAGCAGAGAATTTTGAAATGAAGACACGTGACACAGCCATGCATTTTTATACCGGTTTAGAGTTGTATACTAAATTTTTATTTGTTTTGACCACACTTGGTCCAGCAGCACATTGTTTGAGATACATATATTTTCAAATTGATAGGGTGTCAGTTGAAAATCAGTTTTTTTATGACTTTGATGAAATTGAGGCATCATACAACCAACTTTGAACTGCCTAGATTCTAGATTGAATCTAGTGTTAAGAACATTGTGTATACATGGATTGTTTTTATGTCTAAACAGTGGTGTGAGGCTAACACTTGGCCATCTAGTGGTTTAGTCAGGTATTTTTCACCATCCAACTTCAAATTAAAGTTTCCTACGACTTGGATTATTATTGACAGCACAGAATATCCCGTGATAAAAACTAAAGCTCCTAGAGCTCAGGCAACCTTTTCATCAAATAAAAACAGAAACACTGAAAATTCTTGAATGTTCGACACCTGGTGGTTTAGTCAACTATGTCTCTATGTCACATAGAGCGAATTATTGGACTTTGCAAAACATACAAAATTCTAATAAATCCTATGAATGGAACTGAAACAAAACTTTCATCTGAAATAACATTTAGTTGTTTTATGTTGTGTAATTTTAGAACTTGTATTGTGCCAAAGGATGCATAAATAAAAGTGATGCAATGAATTTTGTTCTGATATATATATATTTACAATTACATGCACATGTAAATTGTAATGCATATAAAAATGAGATGTGGTATGATTTTCAGTGAGTTTATCAAACTAAAGTGCATAAGAAATGGGTTTAAGCAGTTACAGGTGTTACTGTCACCGTACAATCTCCAACAATGAGAAAAACTCGTACCCTGTAAAAAATTTCAGAGATCTTACAACTAAGTTTTGTTGTCTCACCTTGACTTTGGTGAATTTTTTATATCTGTTGATGTAAATATAAAAAAGAAGATGTGGTATGATTGCCAATGAGACAACTCTCCACACATGCACAAGAGACCAGATGACACAGAAATTAACAGCTACATGTATAGGTCACAGTACGGCCTTCAACAATGAGCAAAGCCCATACCGCACAGTCGGCTATAAAAGGCCCCGAAATGACAATGTAAAACAATTCAAACAAGAAAACTAACGGCCTATTTTATGTAAAAAAAATGAACAAATATAACAAATATGCAACACATAAACAAACGACAACCACTGAATTACACTTTTACAGGCTCCTGACTTGGGACAGGCACATACATGTACATACAGAATGTGGCGGGCTTAAACATGTTAGCGGGATCCCAACCCTCCCCCTAACCTGGGACAGTGGTGTAACAGTACAATATAAGAAAGAACTATAAAAATCAGTTGAAAGAGGCTAAACTCATCAGATGGATAAATACAAATACAAGTGGACATGGTCGGGTAGTTGTACATCCAAACAACAAAAAAACACTAAGTACAGATCTGAGAGTACTCACAGTTACTGACAGCTAGTTCAAAGCCACTAACAACTGATAAAAAAATCTTGCATCTAAGACTAAATTATCAATCTGTAAGCTCCCTTTAGAATTTTATAAATTTTAGATTTTACATTTCTGAGTTATGGGGTTTTATTCATTAAAAAAGGGGGGATTTTCCAGTTTTTGGACAACAACTCAAAAATGCTTTAAGCAGTTCACATGAAACTTTGGTGAATTATTTATAGCTATTCATGTAATCTCCCTATTGATTTTCATAAATTTCAAACATGACATTGAGAAGAAATTGAACTTTATTTGTTTATAGTCTGGCAACAGATTTATTAAGTATTGCGCAACAGCACAGTGTATTGCACAACAGCAAGAAATCTTTAATTGAATATAAATTCAATTCATATAACCGATTTCAAGTTCATTGACTACATTTATTCAGAAACTATAATATGTCAAATATTTAATTACAATCCAAATTCAGACCTGTATCAAGCTTGAATATTGTGTCCATTTTTGCCCCAGCTGTTCAGGGTTGGACCTCTGCGGGTGTATCCAGCTGCGCTCAGCGAATCAGTTTATTTCTTAATTAAGAACTCCTTTTTTCATTCATAAATTACTTTATGCTTGGAAATATAATTTTGCTTGGAGTTGAAAGAGTTGACATGTTGCAATGTACATTTACTCTACATAGTTCTATGGTACCAAATCAAAAGTTTATATAAAAGAAAGAAGTCAAAGATTTCCCATCATAGTTTAGTTACATATTTTTTTTTTGTACCTGAGGTCGTTGAATATAGATCATTATATAAATAAGGAGATGTGTTATGATTGCCAATGAAAAAACTAAGGATTTTCTTATCCAAGGAATAGATTACCTTAGCCGTATTTGGCACAACTTTTTGGAATTTTGGGTCCTCAATGCTCTTCAACTTTGTACTTGTTTGGCTTTGTTACTATTTTGATCTGAACGTCACTGATGAGTCTTATGTGGACTTAAAATACACACAACCTGTAATTAACTGCCTTTACAGCACTTTCGTGCTTTGATTCATGAATGAGTTACACCGGTTGACCTGAGATCATTTATCATAAACGACGTCATCGGTTCTCACTGTGACGTAATAACAAAAGCGTTGTGACATAGGAAATTTACGGGAAAGTGCAAGAATTTGAAAGTGGTCTATATGCATTTAATTTGCAGCTGAACTTTAAAGCAGCCATCCATCTGTCCAGAAAATCCACCATCCAAAAACTTCTCTGTTTATGTAGTAACTCTGCATAGCGTAACACGTTGTCTGCTGTAGTTGGGTTTTGTATAGCTCAGTACAGTTTGGGTAGATTTAATTTAAAATAACCCTGTATGTGACTCTCCTGTCAGGGTTAAGATTTGGCCTCATTACTTGCAATGGAAAAAGCTCATAAAGATTCACTCCATCCACACCTATTTGGTTAGATCTTTAATTTGGGCAAAACACATTTAAGTTACCAAAAACAAAATCAATGAAACAAATCTAAATTTGTAGAAAAACCATGATAAAACACCACGTCTAACATGTCTAAGGCGTGTTCTGATCCAAAGTATTTCATTCCTCCATTTCTATGTAAGGAATGGTGAACAGACTGATATATTGCTTATTATATTTATTTCATTATAGAATAACCAATATTTTCATTCATTGTCATTTGTAACAATTCCAATATCAAGCCTGCATGGCTCCCCCTTAGTCAAGAATGACCACAAGCTGTCCTTAAGGTTCCCAAGTTTTCTTGCTATTTTGGTAATTGTTTAGGACTTAAAAATCAGGGGGATCTTTTTTTCTCTGTCAAATTCAGAAGTCATGAACTGATATTGACGATTTGCAGCATCAACAACAAGAAGTTTCGTACCCGTTTGGTAAAACGGAAGAACGTTTTGTACATGTTGGAGGGCAAAAGTTTACAACTTAAATGGTTTTAATGACTTTAAATTGCAAATTTCATAGTAATAGACTATGCAACATGCATCTTTCGATTCTGAATGTAAACCGGATGTAATAATTTGATTGTAAACTACGAAATGAATTCGGAATTAAGATACGAAATTTCTTCAGATTATCAAGTTGCAGTTAATATTCATGTATTTACTTTTTAAACTTGTAAAGTGATTCAATATTATCAATAATTGTTGTACTCGTGTTATTTGGCATGAAATTATGTTCTCTGTTTTATGTCTTAATTTGTACTCGTTTAAAAAGGGGGATGCTGATTACGTAATTTAATATAAAAGCATGTGTTCGACTTGTTAAACTTTTTTCTTCGTAACTGGATTTTTCCCCCCCGCACAATGCGTTGCGGGAGACATAGGAATACCGGGCATCTGTCCGACCGTCCGTCTGGTCTTGTTAGCGCTCACACATGTACAATTCTTGCCAGATTTTTATGAAACTTATATCAGCAATGTTTTTGACAAGTTCGAAAATCAGTGCCAATTATTTTTAAAAGAGTTATACCCCTTGGAAACATTAATTATATGGAAAATTGCATTGTTAGCTCTCTCATTTGTACAATTCTTGCCAAATTTTTATGCAACTAATATCATAGGTTTATATCAGCAATGTCTTTGACAAGTTTGAAAATCAGTGCCGATCAGTAATTTTTGAAAGAGTTATGTCCCTTGGAAACATTATTTATATGGAAAATTGCATTGTTAGCACTCTCATGTGTACAATTCTTGCCAGAATTTTATGAAAATATCATAGGTTTATATTAGCAATGTCCTTGATTAGTTCGAAAATCAGTGCCGATCAATAATTTTAAAAAGAGTTATGCCCTTGGAATTATCAATTATATGGAAATTTGCTTTGAGAGTGCTCTAATGTGTACAATTCTTGCCAGATTTTTATGAAATTTATGTTATAGGTTTATATCGAGTTCAAAAAAGGTTATGCAATTGAATATAATTGCTAACAAAAATGGCGGCCGCTAGCAAAACGAAAAACAAATTTTGACAATGGAGGGGATCATTTGCTATGGCGGAAGATAATTTAATGATGGCAGTGCACTATCTTAAAACAGGTCATGGAGATCCCTGAAGATTGTGAAGCAGATATGAAACAATGTACATGTAAACTTTGACATTGGTCATTTATGTCACACTCACCTTGTAGCAATAAATCAATACAAGCTTTCTTTTCATTTTTCTATTTGCAGTTTGAGGCAAGCTACTTTGACATCACAAGCAAAACCTCCTCGCCGATTTTTCCCAGCTGGATCAGCGGTTATAGACTTTCCTTATGGAAACATGAATCCCATAGTGGACCTCCTACAGAAAGAAGAGATACTATTTGTAATGTATTATGCTCCTTGGTGTGCCCAGTCTGTTAGTGTTAGAGAAGAATTTCAAAAGGCAGCAAAATATTTGATTGATAAGGTATCTTTTTTGAACCATTTGTTAATCCATTGATCAAGATTTAAAGAGGGATGTATGAGTTCTGTATAAACTAGTGTAACTCTGTTATATATTCATATCTGGAACCGCACATATATATATTGGAGCTTCAATAGTAAATAAGTGTGTGTACCCTATGTCAAGCTGTACTATGGCAAGAGTTATACCAGTTGTGTATGAATTCATCATAGACTAACAAAAACTGCAACAACAAAAAATGGGGTTACACTAGTTCTCTGAGAATTCAGCTGCTCAGCTTTCCTCTAAATATTTTGTTTACTGGAATAAAAAAGTTTACAGAAAATGGTGCAATTGTCACTCTCAAGAAAAAAAAAAGATTTCGCTCCTGTATTATAATTAGACAAAACTAAGCTATAGGTTTTATGAAAAGCTATATAAAAAAAAGAAAGCACTGTTACTGATAGCTAGCTAAGAGATCTCATCTTCTGACATGGAAATCATGTTCTCATAGTATTGGCACTTAATTCTGAGCAAGAAGATTTTAAACAGTTTTAAATAGTGTAGAGCATTACTATCCTTTTCAATATCCTTGGTAAATTTTATGCATAACATTTCAATACATAATAGAAAACATTTAGTAAGCCTTATAAAACGCAAATCAGTATTGATCCCTAATATTTGTTGCTTTATGAAAATAAAATGAAATTATTTGACACATGTACAATGTAGCATCAAAATATCAGTTGATTACTAAAAATAGAAATTCCTTTTTTTTAGGTAAAGTTTGTTGGTGTGAACTGTTGGTGGCCTGAAGGAAGCTGTCGAAACACTTATAAATTTCTAAAGTATCCAGAATTATATGTTTATCATACCAATCTAGATGGCTTCAGATTTAATGGTAGTTAAATTTATTTTTACCTCAACTAAAAAACAGATTTTGTAAATTTTGAGCAATATGGAACTGACTTTTTAACGTCGTATATTGGTATGACGTTGGCGTCGTCGTCGTCCAAAGACACATTGGTTTTCGCACAATAACTTTAGTTTAAGTGAATGGATCTCTATGAAATTTTACCATAAGGTTCAATACCACAAAAGGAAGGGTGGGATTGAATTTTGGGGTTATGGTACCAACAGTTAAGGAATTAGGGGCCAAAAAGGGGCGAAAAATAAGCATTTTTCTAGTTTCCAGACAATAACTTGTGGAACGGTGTATGGATCTCTCTGAAATTATACCACAAGTTTCCATACCACAAAGGGATGGTAAGGATTTGCTTTGGGGGGTTATGGCTCAAACCGTTTAGGAATTGGGGGCAAAAAAGGGGGAAAACAAGGGTGTCCTGGTTAATGGACAAATACTTTAGTACAAAACATAATTTAAAGCAGTGTAAGGGAGGTAATTCAAATACATCATTTGAATAACCTCCTTTACACTGCTTTTAAATTATGTTTAAAGAAATGCATATTTATAAAGGAAGACCAGTAAAAATATCTGCAAATGTTGCATCTTTATTTTACAAAAAAATCCATATGAAAGATTTGACACCATATTTTAAATTCTATTATAAAATTGATTAAGTTAGCACTATGGTAAATTTAAATGGGTAATTATGGTTGCAAACTCCATTGGAAATTTGAATTGAGATTATGACCATTTCTTGAGGGAAAGAATTTTTTTTGGGGAAAAAGGGTGGGGGGGGGGGGGGGGGGGGTGGGGGGTAAAAAGAAATTCTCATTTCAGATTTCAGAAATTAAAAGGAAAAATTCTTCAAAATTATTTTTTTTGCAAAATAAAAGTGGGGTGGGGGTTAATACACAACAGCATAGTGTATTGCACAAAAGCAAAAAAAAAAGGGGAGGTAAATTTTTTAATTTTTTTTGTGGGGGGAGGGGTGGTCAATTCGCAACAGCAAAGTGTATTGCACAAAAGCAAAAATTGAATATAAATTCAAATCATATAACCAATTCCAAGTTCTTTGACTACAGTTATTCTGTGTCAGAAACCTTTTATGTGTCAAATATTTAATTCCAATCCAAAATACAGACCTGTATCAAGCGCGAATATTGCGTCCATTTTTGCCCCAACTGTTCAGGGTTGGACCTCTGCGGTCGTATCCAGCTGCGCTCGGTGAAGCAATTTATTATATATTTTGGTAAAAATATGAAAATACATGGTAAAAAATCAGATTTTCCACTCTTAAATCACTAGATTCTTAATTTCATTAAGTAGAAATTGATGTGTCCCTACAGTTAATTGTTTACACAGTATTCATAGGCTATGGTATTAGGGCAGAAGAAATATTACATACCTGCCAGATTTTCTAAATCTCCATGGGGGATTTTAGGCTCAAGAGGACATAATGCTCCTCTTATATGGTCATGCATGTACATGCAAGTGTTTTTAATCTATTACTATATTGTTTGAATGAATATATATGGGCTCAAATGGTGGAAATCCCACATAGATCGGGACAGTTGGCAGCTCAGATGTTATTTTTGATATGTAATAATTGGGATATGTAATCAAAATTGATTGAATCAAATTTGAACACAGTAGTACCCTAAAATGTGTTTGAATAAAATCAATCTTTGTATAAGACATCATACGCAATATATCATTTTTCGGTCAGGCTGTTTATCACATTTAAATATAAATTAGATGCCTGCAAAAGAGACAATTTTGGCATTATAACTAGGTTTTCTTAAATTCCAGAAGTTTGATGGCATAAAGCAATTATATAAGACAGGATCAAACACATTATTTCTGATATCTCACTGACTCTATTTTGCCCCCCCCCCCCTCCCCCACTGCGAAGGGGGCATTAAGTGTTACTTTTGTCTGTCCCAAAATTGGTTTCCGTTCTTTAACTTTAGTTTGCCTCAACCAAATGTTATGAAACTTGTACACAATGCTTATTACAATAAAACACAGATCAAGATCGACTTTGGGTGGCGTCACTTTTACTGTTCCCTTTATAATGTTATATGCAAGCAGAGGCATCATCATTGTCTCATGGCACATTTTCCATTTATTTTATATTTATGTGATAGATTTATAATACTTATTTTTATACGACCGCAAAAAAATTTTTGTGGTCGTATATTGGTATGACGTTGGCGTCGTCGTCGTCGTCCGGCGTCGTCGTTGTCCGAAGACACATTGGTTTTCGCACTCTAACTTTAGTTTAAGTGAATGGATCTTTTTGAAATTTTACCATAAGGTTAAATACCACAAAAGGAAGGTTGGGATTGATTTTGGGGGTTATGGTACCAACAGTTAAGGAATTAGGGGCCAAAAATAAGCATTTTTTAGTTTCCAGACAATAACTGTGGAACAGTGTATGGATCTCTGAAATTATACTACAAGTTTCCATACCACAAAGGGATGGTTAGGATTTGCTTTGGGGGGTTATGGCTCAAACCGTTTAGGAATTAGGGGCAAAAAAGGGGGGAAAACAAGGTTGTCCTGGTTAATGGACAAATACTTTAGTACAAAACATAATTTAAAGCAGTGTAAGGGAGATAAATCAAATACATCATTGAAATTATCTCCCTTACACTGCTTTTAAATTATGTATAAAGTAATGGTTTATGAACAATAAAGATAATATAAAACAGTGTAAGGGAGGTAATCCAAATACAACGTTTTGGTTACTTCCCTTACACTGCTTTTAAATTATGTTTAAAGAAATGCATATTTATAAAGGAAGACCAGTAAAAATATCTGCAAATGTTGCATCATTTTATTTAACAAAAAAATCCATATGAAAGATTTGACACTATATTTTTAATTCTATTATAAAATAGATTAAGTTAGCACTATGGTAAAATTAAATGGGTAATTATGGTTGCCAACTCCATTGGAAATTTGAATTGAGATTATGACCATATCTTGAGGGAAAGAATTTTTTGGGGGAAAAAAAGGGGGGGGGGGGGGGGTGGGATAAAAAGAAATTGTGGGGGGTCAATTTTTTCTCATTTCAGATTTCAGAAATTAAAAAGAATTATTCTTCAAATATTATTTTTTTTTCAAATTTCAAATATTGAAAAATTTCAAGAAGTAATCTTTAATTGCACAGTATGGCGCATTAGATTTGTAAAATCTTTGATCACATTTATTTATTTGTTATGCCGAATCTAACAGTGTATTTAGATTTTTAATTTTGGGTCCAGTTTTCAAAATAGTCTACATTATGGTCCAAAGGGTCCAAAATTAAACTTTGTTTGATTTTAGCAAAAATTGAATATATGAGGTTCTTTGATATGCTGAATCTAAACATGTATTTAGATTTTTGATTTTTGGCCCAGTTTTCAAGTTGGTCCAAATTGGGGTCCAAAATTAAACTTTGTTTGATTTCAACAAAAATTGAATATATGGGGTTCTTTGATATGCTGAATCTAACCATGTATTTAGATTTTTTATTTGTGGACCCCATTATCAAATTGGTTCATATTGAGGTCAAAAGGGTCCAAAATTAAACTTTGTTTGATTTCATCTAAAATTGAATTATTGGGGCTCTTTGATATTCCAAATCTAACCGTGTATTTAGATTTTTAATTTTGGGTCCTGTTTTTTAAATTGGTCTACATTCAGGTCCAAAGGGTCCAAAATTAAACTTAGTTTGATTTTAACAAAAATTGAATTCTTGGGGTTCTTTGATATGCTGAATCTAAACATGTGTTTAGATTTTTGATTATGGGCCCAGTTTTCAAGTTGGTCCAAGATAGGGTCCAGTATTTAAACTTTGTTTGATTTCAACAAAAATTGAATATATGGGGTTCTTTGATATGCTGAATCTAAACATGTATTTAGATTTTTGATTATGGGCCCAGTTTTCAAGTTGGTCCAAATTGGGGTCCAAAATTAAACTTTGTTTGATTTCAACAAAAATTGAATATATGAGGTTCTTTGATATGCTGAATCTAACCATGTATTTAGATTTTTTATTTGTAGGCCCTGCTATCAAATTGGTTCATATTGAGGTCAAAAGGGTCCAAAACTAAACTTTGTTTGATTTCATCAAAAATTGAATTATTGGGGTTCTTTGATATGCCAAATCTAACCGTGTTTTTAGATGTTTAATTTGGGTCCCGTTTTTTAAATTGGTCTTCATTGAGGTCCAAAGGGTCCAAAATTAAACTTAGTTTGATTTTAACAAAAATTGAATTCTTGGGGTTCTTTGATATGCTGAATCTAAACATGTGTTTAGATTTTTGATTATGGGCCCAGTTTTCAAGTTTGTCCAAGTTGGGGTCCAAAATTAAACTTTGTTTGATTTTAACAAAAATTGAATATATGGGGTTCTTTGATATGCTGAATCTAACCATGTATTTTGATTTTGGACATTGGACCATAATAGGTAAATTAAAAAAATTCAAGTTCTTAGACCACATTCTTTCTGTGTCAGAAACCTATGCTGTGTCAAATATTTAATAACAATCCAAATTCAGAGCTGTATCAAGCTTGAATGTTGTGTCCATACTTGCCCCAACTGTTCAGGGTTCGACCTCTGCGGTCGTATCAAGCTGCGCCCCAGCGAAGCATTTTATTTAAAATTGAAGTGGCTCAAAAAGTGTCCTTATCATACCAGCTCCATTCCAGATTGTATATATTTTAGAAGAAAACAATACATGAATATTGACACTATTAAAAATTATTTTGTATTTTTCAGGTATTCCTACAGCAGATGAACTTGTTAGATTTGTTGAAGATATTTTATATCCAATCACCTTATTACATTCTGTAGAGAGTATTAATAACTTTTCAGCTTTACATGATGTAAGTGATTTAAGACGGCAGGGGTGACAAGACAATATAAAGATATTTTAAGTATATTTATTTTGGAACTGCAGTAAAACTATACAGCTATGATAAAACTTTATAACATTGTTCATGGATTTTTCTAGCATTCCACAGGGTCCAGTATTCGGACCCATTCCCAATGGCAAAAACCCTACATTTTACCAATTTTGGGAGCAAAATTCCCAAACGATCTGAAAATTCATTTTCATCTTTATAATTCATGACAGCGATGTTCATTTTGTTTAACCGCTAGCTTCATGCAGAAAATCGCCAACAAATAATGAGTAAATCTGAGTAAAACACATCTGACTGACAAAAACAACATTGACAAGCAATGGCCGCTATAAAGCAGAGACAATTACAGTACTGGATCAGATTCCTGAAGCGAATAAGGCTAATTCCGGGTTTGCCGATCAATTACAATAAATAAACAAAAATTCCAGGCACGTGACAAAATACAGCTATAAAATATAAACTCTCGAATTGAAAACCAAAAGATATATGAAAAAGAAATAAGAAACAAGAAATATTTTATACTGAAACTCAAAATTATTTTTAGTTCACAAATTTTCATGTCAAAATCCAATAAAATGTGACACTTTTCTTAATCACTAAAAATATTGATATTAGATGTTTTTATTATGTAAATATATAACTACAGATCCAAGAGGTAATTTTTTCTCAATTTTGAAAGGCCAGTAAAAATCTGGAAGAGCAAGTGAATTTAGAAAAGTGTTAGGCAGTAAGCCTGCTTGACCAGTTAACATACATCTTATTTCTATTCCTAAACTGTTACTGTCTTTGAAGATAAAAAAGGCTGTAAACTTTTATCACATGTGCCCCTTAAGAACTATGATATTTTGATACTACTATAAACTTGATCTCCTTATTTTTATATTGAGTGCCTTGTTGTCAAGTTTAAAAAAAAAAGAACAGAAAATGAAATTATAAGTAGCAATCATGTAGTTTCTTACTTTATTTTCACAAAAAAAGATAATTTTTAATGAACTAAACACACTAAAATTCACATCTGGTATATTTTTTGTTTTCCCAGTTTCATTGAAAATCGTGTAAAAAAAATTCCCAAAACTGGCCAGGGTCCTTTTTCCCAAAGTACCCAGGAAAAACCCCTGTTGTTAAATAATGGAATTCAAGTATAGTCAAATATTGCTCTGATCTCTTTGACGGCAGTAGGTTTGGACTTGCGGGGGACACGGATGCCAGAGAGCATTCTAGGTAGAAACATGGAAATTGCAGACGAAGGCTAGGGGCAACAAGTTTCTGTCTTAAGATTCATTATAGTTTGTGCTACAGGAGAGTATGTGGTGAATAAATAGTACATACATTTATTAAACAACTTCCCTCCTGTAGCACAAACGAGGAAAGAAATGGTGTATGATCAATCAGCTTGATAATGGACCTATTGTAACTTTGTGACAGAAACTTGCCTAAGCAATTTTCATGTTTTCAAAATGAACTGCACTCTGACATCCCATTGCCCCAGTGACTCAGACATTAGCGCGATCTTTGGACTAATAAAACATTTGAATGGTTATGGACATTTTATGAATTTGATGAATTTGAGTTGTCTTCCTTTTACCTGAAAATATATTACAATGTACAATGTTATACAAATGTATTCATTAAAAGGGGGACGAAAGATACCAGAGGGACAGTCAAACTCATAGATCGAAAACAAACTTACAAGGCCATGGCCAAAAATAAAAAGACAAATAAGACGGGTGTTGAGAAACCTGTAAAAATAAGTTGAAAATAAACACATATTCATAATACTTTTTAAAGTGCTTTCCTTCTCTGACCATAGTTTTCATGTATACAGAGCTTGATGTCTTTTGATGTAGTCTGGGGAAAGAGTTTTTAGTGTATTTGTTATATTTCCCTAGTTAAACAGATTTATTAAGGTATTCTTGTTTCCTATTACAGAATGTTGTGATTGGCAATTTTGATCTGTCAACCCCAACACCACCAGGATACAAAACCTACTATATATCAGCTATGAGGATGATTGAGTGGAGTAAGTATCTATAATAAATAGTATATATAAAGGTTAGTCTATGTATATATGTATTATTCTTCCATCCTTTCATTCCCAATCAGGTTAAAATTTGGTTTAAGATAGGATAACATTTTGGTTTAAGGTAGGTTAAAATTTTGTTTAAGGTAGTTGGTCACCATAACTTGAAACTAAGTACACATGTTTATTATTAAATGAACTGTTATATATATATGTCTAATGAGGGTTTTGGTTTTGTGGTTCACTGAACATGGAAATATGATAGTGCAAGAGAGGCATGGTGTCCTATGGACACTTTATTTGTGTTCATCAAGGTTCAATTAGAAGTGGGGGTATATATTGCATGACATCACATGCAACTTCTTGTTATTCAACTTAAAATGATACTCTTTTTGACAAAATTTTGTTGTCTACAGCCTTTAATAGACAATTTGTTTGTAATATTACTTCTTTTTAATTTCAGATCATCTTCAACCTGTAAAATTTAGTATAGTCAATAAACCTTTACTGTCACAGCTATTGGGGATGAATGATACAAAACAGTTTGTTATACTTAATTTAAATGGATCATTTGTGAGTATTTGTGTACAAAAGAAAATTTTTATATTGAAATAAAAAATCTTCTTTACCACAGTTCGGTAATCAAAGTGTTATTTCTGTAAGTTCCCTTTCATTTAAACAGTTTTAATGGCTTTATACAGAGAACCTTTTTGGTCTGGTAACTTACACATATGTTAACTGCTTAATGTTCTTAATCATAGCCAAAAAAAAATTCAAATGTTGAATAGCTAGAGTAAAGTAATGTCTTAATTTTGAAAAATATTATTAATATACTAGATATAATTATTTTTTGTGTCACATACATGTGATGGACTGTGAAACTCAGATCAGGAGATTGGGAAATTTTGGTCAGTAGATTAGGACTCAGATCAGGAGGTTTTTTATGGACATAAGTTTTGTCCCAAATGTAACAGTGTGATGTAGAAATTGTGTTTTAAAGTGTTATTTCTTCAACTTTCCATTCAAATGTATTATGTTACTTGTACTTATAAATGTTCTTTATCTTTAATCAATCTATTGTTTTTATTGTTTTAGAACATTCTTTAATTTCTTCTTTTTGTTGCTTTTTCATTTCTTTATTGAGTTTATTCAGTAAAACAATCACTGCAAACTGGACATTCTTTCAAGCTAGAAAGTTTATTTATATCTTTTATTTTATGCTATCTAAAAATTTCCAACTTCTTATATGTCATACTTTTTATATAAATTTTAACTTAAGCCTTGAAAAGAAGTATAGAACCCTCAAATAAATTCCAAATTTTTGTTTTTTTTATTTGTCTTAAAACATTTAAAATCATTTAATTACCATCCATATATGATTATTTGTTCAATTTATATTTCATTTATATTCTTTTAACAATTTTCATTATTTAAAGGAAAGTAACTTAAAACAGGAGAAATCAAGGGAAGTAACCTAAAATTTATTTCAAATATTTTTAAATACACAAAGTTTTTATTACACAACGGCAGTTGGCCTGAGGTAAAAATCGTTGATTACCAGTATGTTTGACACCCAAGCTGGCAAGTGAAGCCATATAATTATGCATGTTCATTGATTTACAGGTAAAATTTAACTTCAGATATTGTCAGTTACACCTGAAAGTTTTCATTCATGAAATATTTCATACACGGGATTTTTTTCTCTTCAACGGGAGGACGGGAGGAGACCCCTGAAAACGGGATTATTGTCCTCCCGCCGGGAGGTTCACATGTATGATGTCAAGTGTTTGCTGTCTCATTGACTTTATACTCTATATCTCTCTTTTTCATAAGATAAGAATGAAATATTAAAGTAATTATTTGGGGGGATTGTGATTTTATGTGGTGTGAGATTTTATTAAGGAAATTAAAAATAAATTTTGTTGACAGATATATCCAGCGAAGAATAATTTTACTGCTGACGGTATAGTCAAGTGGATTAACGAACACAGGTATGAGGTGAGAATGTAATATATGTTTTACTTGGTTCTGTAGATATTTTTGTATTTTTGTAAAAATATGTTTTATTGTTGTATTTATATAATATTCAGATAAATTAATATTGGGAGTCTTTGGGGACTTATATGACATCAGAGAAAAATATTTTATAAAGTGTATTACCGCTTACTTTTTGTACGAAGTATAAAATGTATAGTTTAGTATTATATTCCTTTTTGTTCTGAATTTGAAGGAAAAAAAGCAATGAAAACCAGATATGAAACATTTATTTAATAGAAATTGATGAAATGAGATGAGTTTTAAATTTGTAGACAATTATAAGGTATAAAACAGATTTGAAAACATTGAAAGTAATTCAGATATAATATAATCTCATTTAAGTTATAGAATGTATGTCTGCTCCAGATAGACAATATTCATATTATAGGATTTGATTATTTAACTACACCCTTTTGCTATTGCTTTGTATATGGTTTTCTTGTTTCTTTGCTCTGTGTATTCATTAATCTTTGTGGATAGCAATTTTCATTTCATTGATTAAGGTAAAATTGTATTTTTTCATGGATTTAGGTAAAATTTTGGACATTTGATTTTGTGGTTTTACAAAAGTCTGTAAACAAGCCTAAAGAAAGATCGTTGAACATTTAAACTTATGGTTCACCTGTTCCAACAGAAATCGGTATCCCACGAATAATAATGAATCCACAGTATGTGAAAGTGTACTTAACTTATCCACTTATTTTATAAATTATAGAACTTAGTGAAATGGATATCAGTTCCAGGACATAAGAGTCTACAGTTATCTACACAATTAAACAGGGGACCAGTTTTATTGGTCTTTGCTCCAGTGAATAGGCTGCATACAGTGGACTTCTATCACCTCATAGTGAGTTGTTAAAGAGTTGACTGCGGATTTTACAAGTTTTCAACCAAATTTGTTAAACCAAGTATTTTAGTGTATTTTTCATGATTTCATGTTTCATTACATCAATACATATTTTTCATTAAAAAAAAATATATTGCAAACAAAATATGTTGATGATATTTCTGATATAAGGTTCAAACAGAGGATCAAAAGTTATCACTATTTATAATGAGGTGACCACAAAAGACTGCAGACTTGATGTTTATATTTCTGCATCAGATATCACTTATTTTAGGGAATTTGGCAGACTTGATGTTTATATTTCTGCATCAGATATCACTTATTTTAGGGAATTTGGCAGACTTGATGTTTATATTTCTGCATCAGATATCACTTATTTTAGTGAATTTGAACATACAGTAATTGCAGAATACATAAGTTCTTCTGTTTGGTGAGAAAGATTAAATAAAATTGATATATAAATTAAGCTTCAGAGAATTTCTTATGTTAACTCTAAGAAGATGTAATTAACATAAAAAAAAATGTAAATAAAAAATAATTGTTTTCTTAACTGTTCAATGTTTGATACTGTGTTTGTTTTTTTCAGTTGAGAGAATTGGTATTACAGTACCGAAACTGTCATAACAGAACATTCATCATTTTATTGGAGGGTCTATTGAGACGAAAGAGAGAACATGCCATGAAATCATTGGTGCTACCCAAAGACTGCCTTCCTCCTCTTGTTAGCAACATGTCATGTTGTGTATCTTTACACCGTCAAAAACATATTTGTGAACTTTGTAAACGCACGTTTGATTATCAAGTCAAAGACAGTTGTCAATTTTCTCCTATGGAAGAAGACATTCCCAAAAGAGGATTTGGAAATTATAGAGCTCCATCATGTTTGGATTCTTATCAACATTATAATGTGAATGAGTATCGGACGTTGATATGTAAACAATGTGATACTTTATCTAGTCATTCCTGTAGCATCAGACGTAGTACTGATGGTTATGTAAATAAACTTGTCAATAATTTTTCAAGGTTGAAATGCAAAAGACTGTCTTTCCAAAAATCACTGTATCTCGATTCTGAACAGAAGATACATAGTTCTGACATTGATCGGGATCCATTGACTTATGAATTTACGGGTTTTAAATGTCGCAGTAATAAAACAGTGAATGTTGTGTTATTAGATAAAAACAAACATCAGGCATTTTTAGACAGACTAGGTACATTTGTACCAAAGGAGAGTAATATTTCAGTATCTGTGATCATTGATAAACAAGTAAGTATGATTTTATCACTATAACCTACAGAAAAGCTGGCATTGATAAATATTTAGGCACTTCAGTGATTGATGGGCTAACCCGGCCACATTCTGTATGTGCCTGTCCAGAGTCAGAAGCCTGTAGTTCAGTGGTTGTCCTCGGTTCACGTCCATCATATCTGTTTTTCGTAAATTGTTTTGTTATAAGTTGGGCCGTTAGTTTTCTCAATTGAATTGGTTCATATTTTTCTTGTCAGGGCCTTTTATAGCCGACTATTGGGTTTTTCTAATTGTTGAAGGCTGTACGGTTGCCTATAATTGCTTACATCCACTTCATTTAAACTTTGGTGGATAGTTGTCTCATTGGCAATCATACCACATCTCCTTATTTTTTATAAGGAGTTGATTATCATTTATGAATACAGATTACTTTATTCTATTACCAATATACATATATATAAAAGATACTGATGAAAGATAATTATTTACAAATAAGATGGAATAAAATCATATAGATAAATATTATGGCACTACAAATTGCCTTTGCCAATGTAAAATCTTTCCAAATGCAAGTGAAAACATTTTTCTTTATAAATATATACATCAAGGCTTCTAAAACGGTCATATATTCCGGACATTTGTATAATGTCCGGTAAAAGTCCGGCTGGGCAAAGCACGAAACGGTCATCTACTTTTTAGATTTCAAGGCTTTCTTAAGAGACGGTCATTTTAACATAATTCGCGATCTTTTTGACCCAACCTTTTGCCTTTAACAGCCACATATTTCCGGTCATAAAAGTGACATGATCATTAAGTACTATCAAAACAACCCATACTTTAATACCTTCTCATTTTAATCAAGGCTAATTAGTTGCCGAACAGCTGAAATTTACCTGTTCAGGTGACGGGTAAACTATTTTGAACCGGACATTGATCGGTCTATTCAAAGTTATTTTCCTACATTTCACCGGTTTGCATCTAATTAATTTAGTCAAAGAGATTTAAATTATCAGAAATACATTTACAAATAAGATTTGATGAAAAAATTAAAGAGGTGAAAATGAAAAATCGTCATAACCACGTTGTTTGAACCAGAGACATGTCTCTGTTTGAACTAGTACACGTGTGCGCATGTGCATGTGCGCAGGTGTGAAATTTAATTATGCATCCTAATTTCTTTAAAAAATGCTTAAATTGTCATTGATACCTTTATCTCACGTTTATTTCGAATATTTTCTTGAAGAAATAACGTAGAATGAGCTACTTACACTCATTCATGCTTTGCAAACGTACATGGAATTTACGTATCCGTCTCTGGTCCATGTTTTACCATTGTCAAGATAACATCCGGTTTCAGATTTAAAAACGAAAGTAAAGTTTTTGACAACGTTATTTTGCACAAATAAAGAGTCTAAGGCAGATTATGTACGCTGATGTTGCACACTTCGGATGATGCACTGCCAATTTAACAGTTTACTTCAGAACTTCGAATTTGAATCAAAGAAATTTTAATATCGTTTTTTTTTAAATATCAATCATTGGGATGGCCAACTCGGCAACTGATTACCATAATTGCCTTTTGTTTATTTAGTCTTAAGGGATTAAAATCGGGATAATATATAAAATGTCCGGCTGGCTAAAAATAATTTTGGAAGCCCTGATATACATACAAGTTTTTCCTTCCAGAATTTTGTCTAAGAATGGTAGTATTGATGGTTTTAGCATGAAAACACTCGCTTTATCAGGAGCATTGTTAACATACATGTACATGCTATATGATATGATTTAAGTTTTTATACACCCCCAGTGCTAGAAGGGGCATTATGTTTTCTGTTCTGTGTGTCTTTCCGTTTTTGCATTTGTCCATCCCATATCAGGTTAAAGTTTTTGGCTCCGGTAGTTTATTATGAAGTCATTGTCACATCAACTCCAAACTGTACACATGTTAATCGCGATGTAAACCTATTTCATAATATTCTAAATTACAGTTGTACACATATTCATGTTTGTATTGCATTTTATAATTTTTCTCTTTTAATTAATTAAAAGCATTGTTTTTTTATAGAATGAAGTCCAGCATTTTCTCAGGCAGCCATTTACTAAGCTTAATATTGGTAAGGCTCTATAAGAGTTTGAGGCAACTGTTTATGTCTGTTAAAACTATGGATGTCAAGAACTACTCACAATCTTCCAAGTACAATGTATAGAATATGACAATTATATTTGATTAATCAGGTTTAAAAAAATTAGATATGGATTGTAATATTTAAGTCGTTTGCATTAAATAATAGTTATAAAATGTCAGCAAATGTCTTATTTTATGAAAATTTGAACATTTTAACATTTATGAATAAGTTTATATAATAATATTTGTCATAGTTCATGCAATTTGCTTGAAAGTTATATCAGATTAAAATTAAATCATGGAAATTTTTTCTAAAAATTCTTGCTATTGTCATTTGCATTTCATATGAAAATATTGATAAATATCAATTGTCAATTCAACATAATTTGCACAAACTTATTTTATTTTAAAATTTGTATTTACTTTTCTTCAGGGGACATTTGAATGTGAAAATTTGACCAGCAGATAAATTTCGCTGAGATAATTGGTTTAACAATGTAACCAAAAAGTAAAATTAACTTGGAAATCATGTCAGAGTATGACACAATAAAATATCATACAATATGAGCATGACACCTTAATGATATTATGCAAGAGATATTTTCACACGTCAGACTAACACTTATATTTACTTTATACACCCTTTAAAACAAAAACAAATTATTTATTTTTAGCTCACCAGCTGGTGTCCAGCATCGTCTGTTGACTTTTACAAAAATCTTCTCCTGTGAACTACTGGGCCAAATTTAACCAAACTTGACCACAATCATCATTGGAGTATCTAGTTTAAAACAGGTGTCCGATGACCCCATCTGCCAACCAAGAAGGCTGACATGGCTAAAAATAGAACATAGGGGCAAAATGCAAGTTTTGTCTATTATTTTGAAAACCGTTATAAATTTGAGAAAATTTGACGCGGGCACAAATTTTCAGGATGTTGAGCTCTACCAATTGTCCATATACATCAAAACTGTCAGACAACTTCTTATAGGAGTTATTGCCCTTAAATGACAAATTTTACCTTTTTTAGCTCACATGACCTGAAAAGTCAAGTTAGCTTTTCTCATCACTTTGCATCCGTCGTCCAGCGTCTGTCGTCCGTCGTCCGTAAACTTTTACAAAAATCTTCTCCTCTGAAACTACTGGGCCAAATTTGACCAAACTTGGCCACAATCATCATTGGGGTATCTAGTTTAAAAAATGTGTCCGATGACCCCGCCAACCAACCAAGATGGCCGCCATGGCTAAAAATAGAACATAGGGGTAAAATGTAGATTTTGGCTTATATCTCTGAAACCAAAGCATTTAGAGCAAATCTGACATGGGGTAAAATTGTTTATCAGGTCAAGATCTATCTGCCCTGAAATTTTCAGATGAATCGGACAACCCGTTGTTGGGTTGCTGCCCCTGAATTGGTAATTTTAAGGAAATTTTGCTGTTTTTGGTTATTATCTTGAATATTATTATAGATAGAGATAAACTGTAAACAGCAATAATGTTCAGCAAAGTATGATCTACAAATAAGTCAACTTGACCAAAATGGTCAGTTGACCCCTTAAGGAGTTATTGCCCTTTATAGTCAATTTTTAACCATTTTTCGTAAATTTTTGTAATCTTTTACAAAAATCTTCTCCTCTGAAACTACTAAGACAAATTTAACCAAAATTGTCCACAATCATCATTAGGGTATCTAGTTTAAAAAATGTGTCCGATGACCCTGCCCGCAAACCAAGATGGCCGACATAGCAAAAAAATAATACATAGGGTAAAATGCAGTTTTTGGCTCATATCTCTGAAACTAAAGCATTTAGAGCAAATCTGATGGTATAAAATTGTTCATTAGGTCAAGATCTATCTGCCCTGAAATTTTCAGACCAATCAGGCAACATGTTGTTGGGTTGCTGCCCCTGAATTGGTAATTTTAAGAAAATTTTGCAGCTTTTGGTTATTATCTTGAATATTATTATAGACAGAGATAAACTGTAAACAGCAATAATGTACAGCAAAGTTAGATCTACAAATAAGTCAACATGACCAAAATTGTCAATTGACCCCTTAAGGAGTTATTGCCCTTTATAGTCAATTTTTTACAATTTTCATAAATTTTGTAAATTTTTGTAAATTTTTACAAAATATTTTCCACTGTAACTACTGGGCCAAGTTCATTATAGATAGAGATAATAGTAAGGAGCAAGAATGTTCAGTAAAGTAAGATCTACAAACACATCACCATCACCAAAACACAATTTTGTCATGAATCCATCTGTGTCCATTGTTTAATATGCACATAGACCAAGGTGAGCGACACAGGCTCTTTAGAGCCTCTAGTTTTTCATTTTTGCCTATTTTCTTGAAAATTATAATAGATAGTTATAGAGAGAAACATGGAAAATGCAAAAATGATCAGCAAGACAAGCTTTACAAATAAGTCTACATGGTCAAAGTCGTCAGTCAACTCCTTATTAGAGTTAGAGTTATTGTCTTTTGATGACGATTTTTACCAATCTTTTTGCCCACCTAGGGGCATTATGTTTTTTCGGTCTGTGCGTCCGTTTGTTCGTTCGTCCGTTCATCCTTCTGTTCGTTTTTCCGTTTGTTCGTCCATCTGTCCCACTTCAGGTTAAAGTTTTTGGTCAAGGTAGTTTTTGATGAAGTTGAAGTCCAATCAACTTGAAACTTAGTACACATGTTCCCTATGATACGATCTTTCTGATTTTAATGCCAAATTAGAGTTTTGACCCCAATTTCACGGTCCACTGAACATAGAAAATGATAGTGTGGTTGAGGCATCCATGTACTATGGACACATTCTTGTTGCCTTATATCTTAAAAATTATAATAGATAGAAACTTAAATAAGAAAAAATGATTAGCAAGACAAGATCTACAATTAAGACATTACGGAGGAAATCGTCTGACGACTACTTATTGGAGTTATTGCCCTTTAATGACAATTTTCACCCATTTTTTTGCGTTTTGCATTATATGACAAAAATTATAATAGATAAATAGACACTTTAAATCACAAAAATGATCAGCAAGTCAAGATCTACTAACAAGTTAAATTTTGCTGATATAGCTAGGTAGACTGTGACTCTTTATAGGAGTGATTGCCCTTAAATGAGGAATTTTTTTACCCTCTTTTGTGTTTTGAGCAAAAACTAAAGAAGATAGAGAGAATCTAAACAGAATAAATGATCTGCAATACAAGATCACGAAGTTGGTGAGTGTCCTTTGTTGAATATGCACATATAAATAGACCAAGGTGAACGACACATGCTCTTTAGAGCCTCTAGTTTAACAAAACTTTCTAACAAAATGCTTTCTCCCTTTCATTTCAGCTAATTTTGTTATCAATTTTACCAGAGGTGACCTTCCTCGTCACATGAGGTCAGAGGTTACCAGAGGGTCATGTGTGAATGAGGTGTGTGTATCTGATGCTACATCAACAACATTCAATAGTATTGTTTTGGATGAAGATAAAGTAAGTTTTGTGGCTCTAAATTATAACATTAAGTTTAGGATTGGTTGTATGCATCATTGCTGTTGGCCTAATGTTCAGTATCTAAAATTTGATGCCTATTTAAGAACAGTTTTTATCATAAGACATTTTGTTAAAGATGTGCTGGATTTACCTGTGAAAAAAGTTTCCATGGTTTTATACATAAGAATTCCGAAGTCTTTCCATTGTCCATCCATAAATTTTATTTAAAGTCTTAGATTCTTTAACTACTGGAACAATTTGAGCCTTGTTAACTTAAATAAATATTCTTGTTCTGATACTGTCATGATGGCAAGAAATCAGCTGCTGGTTTGTATTTTGTAATGGTGAGCACAAATAAATTAACCATGTAAACAAAATTAAAGTCTGTTATGATTGTCAGTGGGATAAAATGCTACTTTCTCTGATTCATTCCTTAAAATTACAGATGGCACAAAAATAGATTTCCTATCCTAAGGAATTTTCTCTAAGGTTTACTGCATGTTGAGGGTGGGATCATATTGTTATACCTATTCTGTCTATCTGTCCCCAGAGTTCACGAAAATGGTCGGTCCTGTCGGTCCTGTCGGTCAAAATGAGGCTCGGACCAGTATTTTGAAGGCTAGTGCCGGTCCCGATGACCGATGTAAAAACGGCTGTTGTAGTGCATATTTCGGCACTTTTTTACATCGGTTATTAGATGTACCGCAACTGTTTCCAATAAGTGTTTACCATGGTTATCAGATGTACCCGCTGCCAATTTCCGGTACTGGTTTACGGATTTATTATAAACAAACCAAAGCGGCGATCTACACGTGGCCTACTAAATTTGTGCATAGAGCCATCCCTGGCAAACAATCGGCGATTGAACCCTACAATGGAGCAAACAAATACTGTAACAGCCGAGAAAGTGATTCAGATGATGAAATGGATAGTGAAGATGACTTTAAATAAGAACAATCAGAAGACCTCCTGAACTGGTCCTTCATTGTTAATTTGCCTGTGGGTGCGAAGAATAAAACTAATATTAATAAAGTTATTTTTCGATAAAATATATTATTAATTTTATTTCAGGATAAAATTGACAGATTTTGTAGGACTGGCTAAAATTTTGTAGGACTGACAAATAATCATGCTTTGTCGGTCCCATGACCGACGGGTCAAAATAAGTTTTCGCGAACTCTGTGTCCCACAGGATATCATGCATGGTGTTAGTACATAAGAAAAGGTTGGGAATATAATTAATATTTAGGTTTTTGTCATTTTCTACAAATGACAAGATTGGTGAGTTTTATCATTTCTTTGAGAAATTATGCAAACACTGCATGTCTAGTACGACTTACTTCTCAAAGTCTTTCAGATTTTAAGCTAGAACTTTTAAATTATACTGACTTTTTGTACTTTACTTAGGGTGTGTATTACCAGAATTCTGATTATCTTTTCTGATAAACTTTTGTCATTTTTTGATGAAATTGTACATGCAGGGTACATTGTTTGTTTAGCTAATATTTCCTACAGTTTTCAAGGTAGAACTTTTATTACAGTTTTCAAGCCACAGTTGGTGTTTTAGCTGTATATCATTCATCTAGAACAGTTGTACATCATATAGCTTTATCATGGTGTACATTTGATATTATTAGTATTCACGTTTTATTACCCGCTGTTAACTTTTCAAGGAATAGCAGCAATTAATTGTCATAGATAATGGAATAATCATAACTAACACGAGGGCATCAAATTTGTCTTTCACACAAAACCATTTCAAGTTGTACTGTAATACTTAATCTAATGTTTGCTGATATACAGGTATGTTCAAATCTACTGTTTAGACATCATTGTTTCATTGGGCCTCTGTGGTCGAGTGGTTTAAGTAGTCACAACTACTGTATCACTAGCCAGTCAACACTTAGGTTGTGAGTGACTCCAATCTTAATTGACTAGGATTGTCAGTTTTCCTGCCAAAGGTTGTTGGTTCTTTCTGGGCACTCCGGCTTCCTCCAACAATAAAAACTGACCGCCACGAAATAGCACAATAGTGTTGAAAGTGGCGTTAAACACCAATCAATCAATCAATGTATAGTTTCATGCAGCAATCTTTAATCAAATTATAAAATTGAGAATGGAAATGGGGACTGTGTCAAAGAGACAACAACCTGACCGAAGAGCAGAAAACAGTCGAAGGCCACCAATGTGTCTTCAACACAGCGAGAAAATCCCGCACGCAGAAGCTGGCCCCTAAACAAACATGTACTTGTTCAATGAAAATGGACGTCACACTAAACTCCAAAACATATAAATGAACTAAAATTAAAAAAAAACATACATATGCATACCTGTCAACCTATGACAATGAAAATGCAGGTGATAACCTGCATAGAAGAGTGAAATCTCAGGTCATAACGCGTATTAACTTTTTTCGAGCTGAATTTCAGTATTTAGGGGACATTTTTCTTATAATTTATATCAAAGTTTCCAAAACATGTCCACATGGTTAAGTAATTTAAAATTATACATATTATTATTCCATTGCACCTGGAGGCCATTGATAGATTTGTGTTACATTGCCTTAATACCTGTTCATATTCATTCCATGACATACAATGTGCCAACTTGTGTTTTCTTTACATACATTTGTGCAGCTTTAAACAGTAGAACATATCATAGGTTGATATTAGAGTTTAATAAAATAAAGTTAAACAATTAAAGGAGGTATAGATGAAAAAGGTTATTTTCAAAATTTTTATTTTTTAATTGTTCTAAGGTAGAACAAGTAAAAGTATTATTCTGATATGTTTGTGCATTCAATTCATTTTAGATTTAATCTTTTTACAAAAAAAACATAAGTTTAAGGAGTATATTGTGAATTGACAAAAAAGGGGAAGTAACTCAAATTGTTTTAAAACAACTTTGAAATACACAAATTATTTACGACCTAAAGCTAAGGTAATTGGTGTTAATTAACAGTGTGTTTGACACCAAAGCTGTCAATGAAGCCATACACTGAAATGGGTCAATTGAGCTGAGTTTACACAGCTAGTTGAACTTCTTGTCCAGGAAGAATTACAAATTTGCCGGTATTTCATTGAAATCACTTTATATCTAATCAGTCTGAAGGCTAAGGAGTCCGGTGAAAACGGGTTATTTTCCGAATTCCCAGGTTATTTGGTCACCCGGCAGGTGTTCCGGGTGACCCCTCAGAATTGTGAAAATCTTGGGTCACACCTGTTGAGATTGTCGCGGGAACATAACGTCCATACTATTGTACTTGTCCATTGTCGACGTCGTATTGTCAGTGACGTCGCCTTGGGCGGAAATACGTTAGTTGTATATAAAATGTAATGGCTGAACAGTTGTCTTTATACACATTGCCTAACTATCATCTATATTTATGCATAACGTCCGTACTATTGTACTTGTCCATTGTCGACGTCGTATTGTCAGTGACGTCGCCTTGGGCGGAAATACGTTAGTTGTATATAAAATGTAATGGCTGAACAGTTGTCTTTATACACATTGCCTAACTATCATCTATATTTATGGTACCGTGACCAATGGATCTCGAAAAATTGAAATCAGTTCGATCTGGGAACAGAAGCGCTGTTACCAGACTATTCCGCAGGTTAGATGAAGCAAAGGAGAATACGAATTTCGATGAAGAAGAAGTCTTTGCAACGCTCGGAAAACTTGTGCAAAAACAAACATTGTTTGAGGACTTAAATGAACAAATTCTTAAGTTAACAGAACCGGAAGATGTGGAAAATGAGATTATTGATTCAGATGAATATTCACTGACTATGGAAACGAAGATTCGACACATACGTAAGTTCATACAAAATGTCCAAACCCCGCAGTCCCGTCATATTGAATCACATACTACAACTCACACGTTAAATCCAGAAACTATACCGTTTGTTCCAACGCACAACATAACCAACCCACACAACGCACAGTCGTTTGAAAACCCGTCTGTACAAGCCAGTCACACATTTAACACGCAACAAAGTACATTTTCGTCAACTAGTAATCAGAGTCACCGCCTACCAAAACTTTCGCTTCCAACCTTCTCAGGCAACATTTTAGAATGGCAAACTTTCTGGGACTCATATGAGTCGGCCGTACATCTTAATCTGTCACTTACAAATGTACAAAAATTTAATTACTTGAAAGCACAGCTAGAACATGAAGCACTAGGATCAATAGCAGGTTTCGCACTAACAAATGTAAACTACGATGAAGCCGTAAATTTGTTAAAAGAGAGGTTCGGTCAACAAGATAAAATCATAAATGCATACATGCAGGCATTATTAGAAATTCCTTCGCCTAGAAATCAGTTAAGAAGCTTACGAAGTTTTTACGATAAAATGGAAGGTTACGTCAGGGGATTAGAAGCTTTGGGTCAAACACAGGAAACATACGGTACGTTACTTGTTCCCATTATTATGAACAAATTACCCGGGGAAGTCAGAAAACATCTCGCGCGAGAACACAGAACAAAAACTTGGATATTACGGGACCTCCGTAAAAGCATATTAGACGAGATAGATATAATGGACGCAGGACAAGAGATAGAGTCAACACACAATTTGCCCACAACATAGTCTTTCTTTGCCGGAGCGAATTTCCCGAAGTCCAAATCTTACAAGAATATTGAGACTAGACCTTGCGTTTTCTGTCACGAAATACACGCACCTACCCATTGCAGTAAAATAACCGACACAGAATCCCGTATGAACATAGTAAAACGTGATAAGTTATGCTTTAATTGCCTTGGTAAACACAGACTAAACGAATGTAAATCTAAACACACATGTAGACATTGTAATAAGAAACACCATACAAGCTTGTGTAATGTACGTCTAACAAACAGCATAAAACCAGTCCATGAGGTAAGCCATAGAAACGGGGGTAGTAACTCAGCACATACGAATTTCCGCGCGAAAGATAATCAGAGCAGCAACCCGCAAAACCCACCATCTTCAAATTCGACAAACGTTCACCTCGTA